CTGCACAACCCAATATCACCAGTGGGGAAGATAATCAAGTTTGGTGCTGGTGGTTTTTAATTGGTTCGTATTCGGAAGAGTAAACCTTGAGTTCTCTGAAAAACAGTCACTGGGAGGAGAGGAGTAACTCAGTGGTTTTGCATGCAAAAAGCCCCAGGTTCAACTGCTGGCGTCTGCAAATGGGGCTAGGAAGGCCTCCTGACTGAAACCCTGGGGAGCTGAAGAAGAAGAAGAAGAGTTTGGATTTGATATCCCGCTTTATCACTACCCTAAGGAGTCTCAAAGCTGCTAACATTCTCCTTTCCCTTCCTCCCCCACAACAAACACTCTGTGAGGTGAGTGGGGCTGAGAGACTTCAATGAAGTGTGACTGGCCCAAGGTCACCCAGCAGCTGCATGTGGAGGAGCGGAGACGTGAACCCGGTTCACCAGATTACGAGTCCACCGCTCTTAACCACTACACCACACTGCCAGTCAGTGCAGACAATACTGACCTAAATGTCTCCCAGGGTTGTTGTGAGGGTAAAATGGGAAGAGGGTGAATCGTGTACATCAACCTTGAGCTCCTTGGATAAAATAGAATCATAGAATCATAGAATCATAGAGTTGGAAGAGACCACAAGGGCCATCGAGTCCAACCCCCTGCCAAGCAGGAAACACCATCAGAGCACTCTTGACATATGGTTGTCAAGCCTCTGCTTAAAGACCTCCAAAGAAGGAGACTCCACCACACTCCTTGGCAGCAAATTCCAATGTTGAACAGCTCTTACTGTCAGGAAGTTCTTCCTAATGTTTAGGTGGAATCTTCTTTCTTGTAGTTTGGATCCATTGCTCCGTGTCCGCTTCTCTGGAGCAGCAGAAAACAACCTTTCTCTCTTTTTTTTATAAGATATTTATTAAGATTTTCAAAATATTACAAAATAAAAAAAGAAAAAAGAAAAATACAAAATAAAATTAATTAAAAACAAGTCAATCTTTCAATTACTTATTTTTCATTAGCTTGTTTCCCGGACCTCCTCACGCCTCCCTTTTTTGTATTCCAGTTCAGTTTGTTGGTTCAGCAAATCCTTCCCTCTTTGTTTATCCTAATCTCTAATCTTAAAGTATTGTAACATTAAATTTTTACCTGTTAGTAATCCATTTTTCATATTCCCTTATAATATTTCTGCTAAAAACCATTTAATTTCTATCCAACATCATTCTAACATTCATTAATTTTACAATATTTCTGTAAATAGTCTTTAAATTTCTTCCAATCTTCTTCCACCGACTCTTCTCCCTGGTCTCGGATTCTGCCAGTCATTTCCGCCAGTTCCATGTATTCAATCACCTTCGTCTGCCATTCTTCCAGAGTGGGTAGATCTTGTGTCTTCCAATACTTTGCAATGAGTATTCTTGCTGCTGTTGTGGCATACATAAAAAAAGTTCTATCCTTCTTTGGCACCAATTGGCCGACTATGCCCAGGAGAAAGGCCTCTGGTTTCTTCAAGAAGGTATATTTAAATACTTTTTCAATTCATTATAGATCATCTCCCAGAAAGCCTTAATCCTTGGGCACGTCCACCAAAGGTGAAAGAATGTACCTTCAGTTTCTTTACATTTCCAACATTTATTATCGGGCAAATGATAGATTTTTGCAAGCTTGACTGGTGTCATGTACCACCTGTAAATCATTTTCATAATATTCTCTCTTAAGGCATTACATGCCGTAAACTTCATACCTGTGGTCCATAACTGTTCCCAGTCAGCCATCATTATGTTATGTCCAACATCTTGTGCCCATTTAATCATAGCGGATTTCACCGTTTCATCCTGAGTATTCCATTTCAACAGCAAGTTATACATCCTCGATAAAGTCTTAGTTTTGGGTTCTAACAGTTCTGTTTCTAATTTTGATTTTTCCACCTGGAAGCCAATTTTCTTATCCGAATTATATGCCTCCATTATCTGATAATAATGAAGCCAATCTCGCACTTTGTTTTTTAGTTTCTCAAAACTCTGCAATTTCAATCTGTCTCCCTCTTGTTCCACAATTTCCCAATATTTTGGCCATTTGGCCTCCATATTGAGCTTTTTCAATGCTTTCGCTTCCATCGGTGACAGCCACCTTGGGGTTTTATTTTCCAATAAATCCTTATATCTCATCCAGACATTAAACAATGCTTTCCTGGTTCTTAAATGCTTTATGTGCTTTGATCTTATCATACCACAGATATGCATGCCATCCAAATACATTATTAAAACCTTCTAAATCCAAAATGTCTGTGTTTTCAAGAAGCAGCCATTCTTTCAACCAGCAAAAGTTGCTGATTCATAGTAAAGTTTAAGGTCTGGCAGGGCAAATCCACCTCTTTCCTTTGCATCTGTTAGTATTTTAAATTTTATTCTAGGCTTCTTGCCCTGCCAGACAAATCTAGAAATATCTCTCTGCCACTTCTTGAAACAGTCCATTTTGTCCACAATTTGCAATGTTTGAAACAAAAACAACATTCTAGGCAATACATTCATTTTTATCGCAGCAATACGACCCAGCAGTGAAAGCTTCAAATTTGACCAAATTTCTAAATCTTTTTTCACTTCGGCCCAGAAAACAACCTTTCTCCCTCCTCTATGTGACATCCTTTTATATATTTGAACATGGCTATCATATCACCCCTTAACCTCCTCTTCTCCAGGCTAAACATGCCCAGCTCCCTTAGCTGGGAGTTAAAATAGATGGGGTTAAAATGAAATGAAACTAAGAAAATGCCATTGCTGAAAAAGCATCTTTATATTTACCTTGTGAGGGGTTTTTTAAAAATGACAGGGGAGGGGATAGCTAACTATTAGGCTTACACTGTAAGGATAAAAGGACCACCCCTCCCCTTATAAACCATCCCAGACTCTGTGATCATCATCTGAGGCCCTTCTTCATGTGCGTCCTCCGTGTGAGGTCCGGAAGGTGGCAACACAAGAACCGGCCTTCTCTGCTATGGCTCCCCGTTTCAGGAATACTCTCCCCAGGGAGGTTTGCCTGGCGCCTTCATTATACACCTTTAGGCACCAGGAGAAAACGTTTCCCTTCAACCAGGCCTTTAGCTGATTTGTATTCTACAGCATTTTACATGTGCCTTTGGGAAGGGGGCCGGGTATTGTTGTGCATGTTTTGTTTTTAATTATTTACTTGGTTTTTATCCTGTGTTTTATTCTGTGAACCACCCTGAGATCTTATGATGAAAGACGGTATATAAATCCAATAAATAAATGAAATAAAAGACAAGCCTCAGCCCAAAGACCCATCTGGCAAAGCAGGAAGTGGGTAGGTGGGAATGAACCCTTTCATTTCCTGTTGTGGTCCTGAGGCAAGTGCCTTCTCTGAAGATGGTATTTGCTTTGGGAGGAAATCCCTCAGTAATGCCACTGCCTTGCTCTGATAACCCATGTTTGAAGAGTGCTGTAAGATACCTTCTAAGCAAACAAAGGTTTAAAAACACAGGGCCCTGCCCTGCTTTGCACATGGTCCCACTATGAATCATCGCTCAAGATGAAGGGCAGCTGCTAGGCCCCACAATAAGCTAAGTGAAGCAGCTGATTTTGCGCATTGTTTCTTTTTGAATGCATTATTATTGGGGGGGGTTACCACTAGGAGGAGAGAGAGGTGACTGTACTCTACTCGCAATGCCTCAACAATGTGGCTGAGTACTCTGCCCCTTGGTAAAGGACCCCTGGGTGGTTAGTCCAGTCAAAGGCGACTATGGGGTGCGGCGCTCATCTCGCTTTTCAGGCTGAGGGAGCTGGCATTTGTCCACAGACTGCTTTCTGGGTCATGTGGCCAGCATGACTAAACCACTTCTGTGACAAGTGCCAGAGTGCATAGAAACGCCGTTTACCTTTCTGCCGCAGCGGTACCTATTTATCTACCTGCACAGGTATGCTTTTGAACTGCTAGGTTGGCAGAAGCTGGGACAGAGCAATGGGAGCTCACCCTGCCGCATGGATTCGAACCGCCAACCTTCTGATCGGCAAGCCCATGAGGCTCAGTGGTTTAGACCACAGCACCACCCGCGTCCTTCTGCTGCTCCACCTGAGGCACTGAAATGTCTTGGGCTGACAGCTATGGATCTTACACAGTAACAACAAACATGGTTGCTATGTGTACAGTTAGGAGAAGGGCCATATAGCTAGATGGTGAAGCATTCCCAGTACGGCCTAGTAGCACAAGGAAACATACCCTCTCTGATATCCAGGATAGCCCCTGCCAGTCGGTGTAGGCCAGCATTTCTCAAACTTGGGTCTCCAGCTATTGTTGGACTACAACTCCCATCATCCTTGACCACTGGTCCTGCTAGCTAGAGATGATGGGAGTTGTAGCCCAACAACAGTGTAGTCCAACACTAAACCTGATGGACCAATGGTCCAACTTGGTATGAGGCAGCTTCCTATGGTCTTTGGGGTTTCTCACAGCATGAACAACAAACTTGTGTGTTCAGACACAACTTTAGACAGCTATAGACGTCAGCCCGGGAACCCAGACTGGGTCAGCCAGTTCTGAGCAGAGTACCCAGTTGTTTAAAGATTCATATACATGCACCTATGTTCTCCACATTGCTGCAGGATACAACAGTGTGCATACAGCCACTGTATTCATAATGTCTGTAGCTCACCCTGCTTCTGACAGCTTCTCTCCCCCTGCGCCCCCTCCCCCATGCTGACTAGAGTCTGCCTACAAGTCAGGAGCAGGTCATCTGACTTGCTCACCACAAGCAGAATCTGCAGCTTTTGTACCAACATGCAACCTCAAGCCATATTTAGACAGTTGGCAGTGGTGGAAAAAAAATGTCAACTTCTGTTCTTGGAGAACAAGTCAGACAACTAGTTTGCCACAAAGCAGGCAAGCAACCATGTGTTTCAGTACTAAGAGATGTTGGCATCATTTCTGGTCCAGTTGAAAGGGCTGCTCCTTTGGTCAGAGCAAGAATATTCCCCCCACCCGATAGGGTTTCTGTACCTTTAACAGGTGTGTCACAGGCAAACATGTTGGTTTATCATTTCACTCTTACTTTTCAGGAAATCTGAACAAAAGAGAACAGGTTTTTTTTTATTGCAATACCCCAAATTATCCCTAAATAGCAGCACAAAGTTCTCACCCTGAAGGTTTATACTTATTAAACTAGAATACTGGGTTTGCACAAGTACTTACATGAATATATATATATATAGCATGATGCTTTTAATTTTGTTCCTTCCCTCCTGCTCATTTCCAGATAAAAGTCAATATTTGCTACTGAAGTGTCCAACATTATTTCCCACCTACACAGGAAAGTTTTATTGCAATACAACCTTCATAAATTTGTCTAATTCTTGGGTCATTTGGGATGATCCAGTGCGTTAAAATAGTCTTAGTGAGTCAAGGGCAAAATCGGCCAACTTGAATGGCTTTAAGAGAGGATTGGACAAATTCATGGAGGATAAACCTATCAATGCCTACAAGTCATGATGCTCTGCCTCTACAGTTGATGGCAGAAATGCTTCTGAAGACCAGTTGTTGGAAACCATGAGAGGGGAGAGGGCTTTTGTTCTGCTCCCTGGTTTCCCACAGGCAACTGGTTGGCCACTGTGAGAACTGGATGCTGGACTAGATAGGCCACTGACATGATCCAGCAGGCTATTTTTATGTCATCACGTTGTTAAGTTGGAGGCAGGTGAAGACAACATGAGGGCCTGTTGATACCATCTGCCCTGTGGGAAGAAACATCTCGTGCTGGCTCGGTGGAGCTAGTTGTCTTGTTTAGTGTGCATGTGGCTCTTCTTGTGTTTCATAAATGCTGTGAGTCGAAAAGTGGAATATAAATCTACAGAATAATAGTGGCTAGAGAAAATGGTTCGTTGTTAACACTCCCTCATTTCTAAGGTCCCATACGTTTCAGGCAGTGCAGTGGTACCTCAGTTTAAGAACTTAATTCGCTTTGGAGGTCCGTACTTAACCTGAAACAGTTCTTAACCTGAGGTACCACTTTAGCTAATGGGGCCTCCCGCTGCCGCCGCACAATTTCTGTTCTCATCCTGAGGTAAAGTTCTCAACCCACGGTACTATTTCTGGGTTAGCGGAGTCTGTAACCTGAAGCGTCTGTAACCCGAGGTACCACTGTATTATGCCACTTTAAACAGTCATGGCTTCTGCCAAAGAATCCTGGGAACTGCAGTTTGCTAAGGGTGCTGAGAGTTATTAGGAGTCCCTTATTCCCCTCACAAACCAAAAATTTCCAGGAGTTTTTGCTCTAACATACCAGGAATAGAGAAGCAGAGTCCCTGTAAGACTATCAAGTCCAGGGTCTAAATTTCCCAAACTTGCACCACTCAAAGGCTCCTTGTTTATGCTTTCACATCTCATCATTTCTTAGTCCAACCTGTTTTCTTGGCGATAACTTTGCTCATTTGGGCATAGCCATCCCAGGACTCTGATGATCAGCCAGCCTCAGCTGAAGAGAAGACATATGCTCTAATTCTAACACACATTAGGACTTGCTTTGTCTGCCACCGTCTCCACCTGTTCATATATTTACGAGGGAAATGTTAATTGCCGAACCTTTGGTGTAAATATAACAACGGATTCCACCCCAATAGCTGCAACTTCTTGCTTGTCGTATGAAATTGCACAAATGGCATCGCAGAAGTGTTGCCATATGTCCACCAGCAGTGTGGAGTCCACCAAGTTCGTGCAAATATTATGTGAATTATATTTGGAGTACGTAAATAAGCTGTGCAAATTAGGTACGGCCCTCTGGCTCACAATATGTTTTCAACAAGTCTGTGTGCTGAACTAATTGGTTGCTTCTGATGCTACCTTTGCAGCGGTTCCGCGTTAAGGCAGTAAGGCCAGGGTTCTTGCATATTTTTAGCTCCTTAAACAAAGGGGGGAAGATTTTCATGTTTCTGAAAAACAAATCCCGTAAGACCACTGGAGCACTCCATCCCTCTTTGCACCCTAAAATATATGCACAAACGAAATTCTATTAAGAAGGGACTTCCTTCTGCCTTTGTGCATTTCAAAATTGCAGCATTGCACAGTAATCTGGTGCTGCTACAACAGCAACATAAAAGTACCATTGCCATAACAGAGGGTTGGAGTGTGGGAGTGTAGCTTCTGCTGCCATTCCTGGCTCTGTTACTTTAGTCAAAAAGAGCCTGACCCACCAATGGCCTGAGGCCCTTGGTTCCTAGGGATGAGTATTAATTAAAGTGAGGGTGTTATTTTAGTTATTTGCTCGGTTCTGCAAAGTGCCACTGAGTCCCTGGAACATGAAGCACCAAAACCTTGCTCATTTGCCTGTCAATGATCCTCCCTTGCCCTGCAACTTGGTTTGGTCTTAACTTGCTTAATGCTCAGGCAAGACTGGACTTAGCAAGCATGCATGTTATCTCTTGTTTTTTATTTATTTTTTGGGAAACAGATTGTTTTATTGCTCAATGCAAGCAACTCTGGATGTATGTCTAGGGCACTATAAACCAGGCTTGTTTAAAGTTACTTTGGCCAAGCAGTTTATTGCAAAAGTACTTTATCGCCAACAGATCTCAAATGCTACATGCTGCTGGTTATTTTCTCATGGGATGAATGGCTTTTGCGCTCTCTCTCTCTCTGTGTATGTGTGTGTGTGCGTGCGTGCAGAGGGGTAGGAAGGTCAGGTGGTACCCGGTGCAGAAAATTTCTTATTCCCCCCCACATTGTTGGTTTTTTTTGGGGGGGGGGGAGTTGGCCTGCAAAAATGGTTTTACGTTATTTCATATTTTCTTACAAAGGAATGTGGATTCTGAGCCTCAGATAACAAGTAGGCGACTACTTAAATCTACAGGATGGATTGTGTTTTGGCTTGTGTTGTTTTGTTTATATTTATTGTTTATTTATTTAATAAAATTTATTTTAAAAACCAAAACAAAATACAAAAAAAACACAGCAGTAAAATCAAGAAAAATTAACAATCCTACTTTAAAACATACAAAAGCTAAAATATTAAGATTAAAATTACTTCAACTTCCTAAGCATCTAGGTATGCTTGCCTAAAGAAGAATGCTTTTAGCAGGTGCCCGAAAAGAGTCTAGCAAAGGCACGTGCTTTGTTGAAATTTCAGCCTTCACGACATAGGAAAACGGCCAAGTAAACAGCTATTTTCGTGGAGGAGGGTCAAGATATTAACTGATATGCATGAAATTTCATATGTAGCTATATAATCCCTAGTGTAGTAAGAAAAGACCTTTGGAGCAGGCATTTTTTTAAAAAAAAGTTTTTTATGAACCGCCCTAGTAGGGCAGTAATTGTTCCTTGATAATTTGTCACCCCCCTCCATGATGGCACCTGGGGCGGCCTGCCCCCCTTTCCTACGCCCCTGTGTGTGTGTGTGTGTGTGCAAGAGCACTGGTTATTGGGTAAGACAGTCCACTTTGGCTCATACATCAAAAATGGCTGAAACCGATGCAATTTTCAAAGGTGGTTCTAGTCCATAAGAGTCACTCCCTAAAACTGTGATAGCTATAGAGGATGTGTCTGCCCAGTTAACAAAAAGCCATCACTGTTTTGAGGGCTCTTTTGAAAACCTGGTTAGTAAGCTTTTTGATAGCAATTAGCCTGTCTGCATTAATTTATATTTATATTTCTGTTTTTGCTATTTATTAATTTATAACCGCTGAGTGCCAAGAGAGTATTTAAGTGCTAATTGACAGTAGTAGTAGTAACCCGATGGCTCATCCCAACTGCATGCTTTTCACATGGCAATTTTCTTACATTACTACATTTCCATGTGGAAGAAAAGCACATATTCTATGATACAGACATGATACCTGTGCAGGAAAACAGTCATGTTTAAAGGTGCTCCCAGAAAGCATTTTTTTCTGGATCTCAGGCACACTAACTCAGTACACTGGAAGCCTGCAAGCCACACAGCTCCCCACACAAAACCAACCAGATCTCTTGCCTATTGACATAGCAGACATCTCAGGCCATCTATGGATACAACAGTTTTTTTCTAGCTTCAAAGCAGAGCCCAACACTGATGGGATTACAGAGGTGTCTACCTCATCCCATAAACATGCCTTTGATTTTTAAAAAATCTAAATGCAAGACATTACATTTATCTCTGTTGAATTTCATGGCCCAGAGTTCCAGACGAACAGAAACTGTTTTGAATATAGATTCTGTCTTCTATGACATTAACTACCCATACCAGCCTCACAACATCTGCAATTCTAAAAAGCATCCCCTCTATGCCCTCATCCAAATCATTTACACCAAAGTTGAAAAGCAAAAAAATAAATAAATCCATTTTGCACCTACCCCAGGTTGGGATGAGGCCTCTGTCTATCTATCTATCTATCTATCTATCTATCTATCTATCTATCTATCACTTGATGCTGAAATAGGCTTCTAAGTAATTTACACATTTAAAAAACAATTACACAAGCATTAAAATATAAAAATCCACCATTAAAACACACAATTATACCGCACGCACAATAAAACAACCCAGTAATTGAAACAGGAGATTTGGGTTGAGAGGCGATGGGAAATGCCTATGTAAGCAGGTTCATCTCCCAAAGCTAGCAGAATGCCTCTCCTATTTCAGCAGGGAGGACATTCCACAGAACCAGTGAAAAGGCCCGCCTCACATCACTGCAAACCGATAGATAAACCTTAGCCCATGGCAAGGCTAACTGTGTTCCATTTATCTAAATGCTCTTACTGGGCAATGCAGGCAAAGTCAAGTAGTCTGGTTTAGAGTGGTTTAGGGCTTCATATGTAAAACAAGAAGACCTTACAACTGACTTGGTGGCTTACAGGCAGCCACTGCAGATCGCTTAGCATGGGTGTGATATGTGCCCAGAAAGGGGGACCACCTTCCACCCAGGTTGCAGCTTCTAGAACACCCATAAGGAAAGCCCCACAATGAGTGCATTACTGTAGTCTCAATGAGATATTACCAGCACATGTATCACAGAGGCTAAACTAACCCTGTCCAGGAAGGGGCACAGTTGATGCACCAGCCAAAGCTGGTGGCAGGCACTCTTTTTATGTAAGGGTTACCTGGACCTCCATAGACAAAGTTCCACCCATGAACCATGTACCTGTTCATTCAGAAGGAGTGCAATCCCATGCAGAACAGGAACAATCCCCAATTCTCAGACCTGGCCACCACAGTGTCTCTATCTACAAAGGATGTAGCTTCAGCTTATTGGTCCTCATCCTGCCTATAACCACACTCTGGCACTTACTTTCAATGAACACACACTAGGTACTGCTGTTCAACCAGCTGTGGACCCTACTCTACCTCAGCAACTCTGTGGTGCTCTAAACCATAGCTGTCAACTTTCAGATTTGAAAATAAGGGATCAGCAGCCTCGCCTGTCCTGGGGACAGTCTACAGGATATCTAACAATCCGGGATAGCAGCGGGAAGCAGTGGGAAACGGCGCTGGAATAAGGGAATTTCCTGCAAAAAAAAGGGAAGGTTGACAGCTATGCTCTCAATTGCTGGAATTGTTTGCCTGACACTTGGTGGCCATCAAGTTGTGATCGGTTTTGCAGTACTGGCAAGCAAATGATGTGTGCCACCCCAGTCCCCACGATGACCATTCAATAGTTCCGCATTCTCCTATTGGGAAGAATTTCATTGCTTTGCCTTGAGTGCCAAAATGCCAGAGGCTAGACCCCTTCTTTAAAAGCCCCGACAAATTCTAAGCGGAATTCTGAAACATCGTTATGCCAACCCCTATTGAAGTCACCTGGCATAAACACCCCCCCCCCTCTCTCCAAGGCAGTTTTTCCAGCTCGGCGATTAAACTGACAGCTGAAGACAGGAGATAACCAAAACAAGAAGCGTTTGCAAAGGAGATTACTTTTACCCCAATGCTTCTTCCCATGCACCTCGTAAGCACTGCAGGCCAATTTCTTTTGCATCTTGGACCAATTCTCTTTGCCCCTAGGATAGCTCAAGCACGTGTGTCTCTTATCTGTTTAATGTACAGTCCAAAGGGGGAAGAGTCACTGTCTCACTGTGCCTGTTAGAGCACCCCCACCATCCCACTGCCTAAATATAACACAAACTGGCTGCTGAAAATGGTCTATTTTTGTAGTTCTACCAACACCTCCTCTAAAGATAGGCACTGCATGAAAAAGACCAGCTAATTTTGGACCAAGGCACTTTCTTCTTCTTCAGCGGTTTGGAAAACAAAGCATCTGACAGCAGCAGCAGCAGGAGGAGCTTTGTTTCTGAACGCCTGGCTCCTCAGGTGTTAAAAGGTTTTGGGCTTTTATGCTATTTCTTACCAGCCTTCCCCAAACGAGCTTGCTTGCTTGCTTTGGCGATCACCAGAAATAGAAACAAACAGGCAAAAGACCTTGCTTTCTTCCACTCACAGAGAAAGAGTACATCTGAAGAGGACAGCCTAATGGGATTTGATCATTGGAATTTAAGCTTCTCTCAATTTGCACAGCAGTTAAAGGAGATGTGCAAAGTGCTAGTTGGATTCTCTAGGGGAAGTCTAAGAAACATACACATCCCATCTTAATAGGCCTTTTTAATAGTCTCTAAAGTAGCAGCGCTGCTGCATTTCCACTTGTTTTTTTCCCAAATTTATTTTTCTTCCCTCCTGGGTAAATACATTTTATTTTATTTTTACCCTAGAATGCTGGTTTTTTTCCAAGATGATGCTTGCTTTCTGCAGTTTTTATGAGAACTTGTATTTAACAAATTGTTGGTTGTTTTTAATTAATCATTTGCTGCACTTTATTTAGGCTTGATTCTCAACTGGCATGCTTTCAAGAATCATACAGTTTTGAATTTATTATTAATAACCAACATGGAGGCTCTAAGTAATAACCGTAAGAGGAAAGAACCCCACGTCACCCTCATTTTAGATTGCAATCTTAGCCAACCTTCCTGCAAGTCAATTCAATTGAACTCAATAGGATGTTCAATGGAACAGACATGCATCTGTTAAGAGATGGGGACTATTGAGATCAAGCAGATGCCTTCACTGTACTCTTTTTGGAGCGCCTGCTAAAAACATTGTTTAGATAAGTGTCTCCACCCCCATCATTCAGCCCGGACACTGAGGTCCTCCTCCAAGGGCCTTCCGGTGGTTCCCCCCCTGCGAGAAGCGAGGTTACAGGGAACCAGGCAGAGGGCCTTCTTGATGGTGGCGCCTGCCCTGTGGAACGCCCTCCCATCAGATGTCAAGGAAATAAGCAACTACGTGACTTTCAGAAGGCATCTGAAGGCAGCCCTGTTTAGGGAAGCTTTTAATGTTTGATGTTTTCTCGTGTTTTTAATATTCTGTTGGGAGATGCCCAGAGTGGCTGGGGAAACCCAGCCGGATGGGCAGGGTATAAATGAATTATTACCCAGACCCTTAGAAAGTTGAGGTAATTCTAATTTGTTTTAGTTTTTAAACTTTTGTATGTTTTAAAGTATGTTTGTGATTCCGCCCTCCCTTCAATTTTACTGTTTTATTTTTGGTAAACTTCTTTGAGGTTGTGTGTGTGTTTTTACAATCAAGTAGCGTACAAATGTTATGAAAGAAAGATTAAGTGAAGTCAAGTATGTATCCCCATGCTACTGCATTCATGCTAAGCTGTTAAAAGGTTCAAAAGCAGCTGATTGCTTAGAACTTTTTAGGAAAATATTTCTCCCCTACAGAATCCATGTACTCAACGCACCATGTCACATGCAGGAAACTGTGGGATTTAGTCACATCTAAAGTTATGGGGGGGGGGGTCACAAGTGTTTCTATATTTGTTATCCAAGCTGTGAAGGGAAAATGCTGATTTTTAGGTTCCTATTCAGACACACCACATGCTGCAGTGACCTGTACTTGCCGACTCCTAACAAATCGCCGGTGTCTGTTGAGAGGAATGCTGTTAATTGTTACTGCGAAAGAGAGTTTATTAAAATACTTAAGATGAGAGATGTGTAATTAACGCAGCTTTGTACTCTAATGGGTCCCTTTGCTCAGAGCTCTTTGAAAAATTAATTAAGTGGCCCTCCACCCTCATGTGGTGATAAAGATACACCAATCCAGCAGAAGGGTAACCCCGGGCAGGCAAGATTGCCCTGCGAAAAGAGACAGAAATATTGAGTGGGATCCAATTCCCAGCTCCCTGTTCAATCCGCAGGGTAAAATGGGGATTAATTTGATCCACCAGATTCTGAACTTATGGAACCCCACACAAACAGCTTATTACTTGGTTAATTAAATGTACACCCTGATCTGTGCTTCTGGCCTGGGTGGTTTACTGGTGGTTATAGTGAAATATACCAATAAAACTCTACTTCTTAGCTTTTAAATGAGACCTGCTCGGATGAATTACCTGTTTGTAAAGCTCAGAAACATCATCTGCTCTGGAGGTCTGTGGAGGAGGAGGTTGTTTTACATGGAGATGAAGATACGGAAACTCTCCCTGCTCCCCAGGGGTTACTAGAGGGCCACCAATTCTCCATTGTTGTTGGCATCTGTCTGTCTCGGGGAGACAATGGAGTGTGCCGTTGGGGGTGAAGTCAAACTATTGGAAGGTTACTGTGCCTGCTGCGGTTGTAGTGACTGATACAGGAGAAGGATGTTTTGTTGCAGCTGGGGCAGATGAAGGCGTCCGGTTGTGCTGATGAAGGTTTCTGTATCATGGTTTTCCTTCTTTCTGCGCTCCTCCCAGCATTCGTTCCTCCTCTGGTTACTTCTGTGGATGCGTGACCTGTCTCAGGCACCACAGTCATCTGAAAGGGGTTCTCACATGGCAGGGTTGACGTTGCCAGCCCTCATGTCATCTTTGTAACACAAGAGTTGGCCGGCCAATGGACCTGGTGCCTGAAGCCAGCTCCCCAGCATCCTTGGAGATCCTGCCTTCTTCCATTCTGTGGACGTGACCAAGCCAGCGTAGAGGCTGCTGAGACAGGAGAGCAAACATGCTGAGAATGTGATGCAGTGCATGTGTCAGGTGTTGTCGGGGACTGGGCTGAAGAGGAATGGTGGAGGCTGCCCCCGACAAACCTTCCCGAAAAAAGGACAGTATAGATTTACAACAACAGAAGGTCATGACTCTGAGACGAAAGAAAGACACAGATGAGAGATAATGGAAGGGGAGGCGGGGGAAACATCAGAGCCAGAACAGCTGGCTAACACGTTATCATTAGAAAGCATTCCCACCCCCCTTCTCCTAGAACCAGGAGGGCTGTGAAATGGGAAGAGCAGAAAGCGGAAAGGGCCTTACACAGCCACCGTATGAGGGGTGGAGCTGCAGATGACGGAGAGTAAAAGGGGGGGGAGGAGATTACTTGGAGCAACACCATTAATTAATAGGGACTACTTATTAGACCACTGAGCCTTGGGCTTGCCGATCAGAAGGTCGGCGGTTTGAATCCCCGTGACGGGGTAAGCTCCCGTTGCTCGGTCCCTGCTCCTGCCAACCTAGCACTTTGAAAGCACGTCAAAAGTGCAAGTAGATAAATAGATACCGCTCCGGCGGGAAGGTAAACGGCGTTTCCGTGTGCTACTCTGGTTTCGCCAGAAGCGGCTTAGTCATGCTGGCCACATGACCCAGAAGCTGTACGCCGGCTCCCTCAGCCAATAAAGCGAGATGAGCTCCACAACCCCAGTCGTCCGTGACTGGACCTAATGGTCAGGGGTCCTTTTACCTTTACATTCCTTTCTCTCTCTCTGTAAATCCAGAATAAATTCCGTAGCAAGGACTCTTCTCGTTACCTGCTTTCTTTTGCTGCCACTGGGGGAGGGATAGGATTCTCTGAACCTTGACAGGTGTTGAGGTGCTGCTCTTGGCGGTTCCAAGTTGCCCAAGACTTCCATAAAGCAACATGCTCAACAGAACAAGCCTGGTAGATCTTCATCTTGGTTTTGGTCGTAAGCATCACATTCTCCCACACCCTTTTGGAGCGGCGAGCCATTGCCATAGCTGCCAGTTGCTATTATTTTTTCCTTTCTAGTTTGACAACTGGGGTAAGGGACCAGTTTTGGCTCAGGAGTCTTTTGTTGCTGATCACTATTCTGTGTGAATTGTCCATGTTCATTTAACACAAGGGAGACCCTATCAGGAAGTCCCTGCTGGCTGGCTGGCTGACCTAGGCTTAGGAACATAGGCTTAGAAACTGAGGGCCCATCCACGCTTGTCCTGTGCCTGGAAAGCACAGGGATAAAGAGGAGATGTGGTAGAGATGCATGATATTGACCAAGGCTTATCCTCCCTCTCTCATGTTACTAGAGCATGGACTCAGCCGATGAATGGTGGGCGATTAAGGAGAGGCAAAAGGGCACGCTCCCTCGTTAAATGATGGCATCTGCTGCCACAGGATTTAGCAATGGACACCAACTTGGACAGCTTTATATAAAAGGGGCAAGACAAATTAATGGAAAGTAGTGTCACCACACAGCTACTAGTTGCAACAGCAGAGCATACGTTCCCGCTGCCTGGGTCGGGTACGGCGCTGCCCAGCCGAGGAGAGGGGTGGCAACTGCAATTCTCCTCCTTTTCTCCGCCTCCCGGGTCAGACCTGACCCAGGAGCAGAGCTGTGGCTGGGTGCAAGGCAGCTCCCTTGCCCTCCGGAGCCAGAGTCCAATGAGGGAGACTGGGAAGGGGGCAGCTGGTTGCGCCCCCTCTCAAAAATGCACCCAGGGTCGTGGCCCCCCAGCCCCCTCCAGGCAACGCCCCTTGCTAGTCGCAAAGGCTGTATGCTGCCTTGAGCATGAGAAGTATGACCCTGAAAGCCAGTCACTGGGAAACTGAGCACTGTTCCACAGCATTTGATATTTTCATTTATATACAGTGGTACCTCGGGTTACATACGCTTCAGGTTACATACGCTTCAGGTTACAGACTCCCCTAACCCAGAAACAGTACCTTGGGTTAAGAACTTTGCTTCAGGATGAGAACAGAAATCGCGCTGCTGCGGCACGGCAGCAGCGGGAGGCCCCATTAGCTAAAGTGGTGCTTCAGGTTAAGAACAGTTTCAGGTTAAGAACGGACCTCTGGAACAAATTACCGTATTTTTCGCTCTATAAGACGCACCAGACCACAAGACGCACCTAGTTTTTGGAGGAGGAAAACAAGAAAAAACAAATTCTGAATCTCAGAAGCCAGAACAGCAAGAGGGATCGCTGCGCAGTGAAAGCAGCAATCCCTCTTGCTGTTCTGGCTTCTGGGATAGCTGCGCAGCCTGCATTCACTCCATAAGACGCACACACATTTCCCCTTACTTTTTAGGAGGGAAAAAGTGAGTCTTATAGAGCAAAAAATACGGTAAGTACGTAACCAGAGGTACCACTGTACATTCATTCGAAATAAGATGGGTTTATGAAGCATTCTATATCCACCCACCACGCTGACAAAGAATTATATGAAACAGTAGTCAATATCCGGAATTACTGTTCAGTGTTGGGAATCATTGTTGAATACACAAAGCTTCACAGCTTGTCTTCCACCGTACAAAGTTTGGTACCTCGCTTCATTTAAAGCTTTTCAGAGACTTTGATACTAAAGATTTCATTTTGAACTTTTTATGATTTGAAGGAATTCTATAAAGATTGTCTATTACGTGTTGCCTAGACATTGCTGAAGTCACTGGGAAAAAGCACAGGGAAAGGGCTACTTCTCTCACGCTCTGCTTGTGGGCTTCCCATAGGCATCTGGGTTGTCTCTGTGGGATCTAGCAGGGCTATTCCTACATTCTAAGGCTGGTTTAACCAGTAAAGTGATTACTTAAACCCTGCCCATCTGACTGGGTTGCCCCAGACACTCTAGGCAGCTTCCAACCAAAAGGCTTTTCCGGAGACGATGGGCGCTCCCTCCTGACACGGTTTTCAGCTTGGCTAGGCAAACCATTGCAGTAACAGTTTCTATTTTTAAAATCGTACCTCTCTGCCGCTTTAGTTTTTTATGCTGTTTTAGTGGTTTGTTTGCTTTGTAAATGGCTAACTTGCTCTTCTTCTCACTGATTTTGTTAGCTGCTGCCATGAGCCTGTTGTGGACAGGCAGGACGTAAACGTTTTAGTGAGGAGAATGGAAACGGAATCTCAAGGGTTGTTTTCAACTGGGTCCTCCTCAAGAGCCGACCAACTGAAATGAACGAATCTAAGTGAGTCGTGTCCATTTACTTCAATGGGTCTACTCTTGAGTAGATACCCTAAGTAAAGACATACATGCATAAGTAAAGACATATATTAATAGAATTGCCACTAAGCTGCCTGGAGTACAGAGCAGTTGGCCCAGAATCAGCGTCTTGAGTGGCAGGAACCCGAATGTTTTTCTCAAGAGGCCAAAACTGAGCCGTCAGCCCAAAAGACAGCAGTTCTAGCTGGCTGGAGGCAAGAGTTTCCCCTCCCTCTTGAGGCTAGGAAAGGTACAGCTGTGCTCAAGAGCCACAGGCAACCACCTTCTAAGTAAATATTTGTAGGTCTGGGCTAGCCAAGGGGAACAGAACAGGAAGCCCCAAACAGTTTTAAGGCCTTAGCTGCACATAGGAAGCTGACTCATACAGTGTCTATCTAGTTCAGTATTGTCTACACTAATTGGCAGCGACTTGCCGAGATTTTAGACAGGAGCCTTTTATAGCCCTGCCTGGAGATATCAGCGACGGAACCTGCGACCTCCCACAGGCAAAAAAACACACTGTACCAAGAGCATGCCTCTAATCTGAGAGTTGTCCTTAAAATAGGAAATAGGAAGTTGCTCTGTACTGGGTCCAACTGCTGATCCATTCTAAGCTCAGTACTGTTTGCACTATCTGGCAAGTGGCTCTCCAGAATTTCAGACAGGTCCAGGCTACCTGGATGGAGATGCTGTTGACTGAAGCTGGGACCATCTGCCTGCAAACTTCTACCACTGAGCTACACCCCTTTACCCATAAGATTTTCACAGTGAGAAAACTGGACCAATCCAAATCGAACCCAGACAGCTTTGAGCAGTAGATTTCTCCTAAAACTTGTCTGCTATACAGTGGTACCTCAGGTGCCACTGGTGGGACTTAATTCGTTCCAGAGGTCCGTTCTTAACCTGAAACTGTTCTTAACCTGAGGCACCACTTTAGCTAATGGGGCCTCTTGCTGCCGCCGCACGATTTCTGTTCTCATCCTGAAGCAAAGTTCTTAACCCGAGGTACTATTTCTGGGTTAGCGGAGTCTGTAACCTGAAGCATCTGTAACCCAAGGTATCACTGTACTGAAAAGCTGCTGTTTCAAGAATTCACTGGGGGGCCTTAGGCAAGCCCCTTTCTCTTGCCTAGAATATGAAGATGTTAAAGACCAGCTCTTCTCTGTCGCAGACGTTAATCAAAAATATTGCCAGTCAAGTGCTGCTGATTAAATGATGGACAATAACTACAAGCATGTCATCCTTCAGCTTCCATTATAGCAACAAGTTCCAGGCTCTTGTTTTTAAGTCCACATCGCTCGGGCCTCCCTTCCTCAGGACATCTGAGGACATGTTGTCTTTGGGAAGCTAATCATCACCACACTTTGCTCCAAGGCTGTCGATTAATCCTTTGATTCTAGGATCAATTATCACATGTTCATTATCCACAGAATTTTCGCAAGAAAGGAGGTATCTAATATACAGCTACAATGGAGTCAGGATAAAGAGCAGTTATTATGGGACTCAGCAGTTGTGCTCTGGCAGACAAAACTGCTGCATAAAGTAGGAAGAGAATTCCCTTCCATCTTTTCTTAGGAGGTAATGGTCCATTGATCCATTCACCTCTCAGACATGTCTACTGGCTCAGCAAGTGTTCGGATTGGGAGCCATAAAAGTACTGATGTGGAACAGTATGTCCCTTTCAGAAATGGAGCCCATAACTCCATATATGGAGTCAATAATTAGTGAAGGGTGGAGTCCCTTACAGCATGACCTTTGTCCTGGATATTTCCTGCTCCCTACACTGTTTTCATATGTTCAGCTTTTATTTGGCTCACTGTGGTGGAGGGATAAGAAGAAGCACCGGCAGAATCTCAGAATCCTCCCATTTTGAGGGTTTTTAAGGTTCTACAACTCTCGTAGAACCTTAAAAACTAGCAAACTGATTGTGGCAGGTGCTTTCGTGGGCTAGAGCAGGGCTGGTGGGTTCTGTGTCTCTCCAGATGTTTAACTCCACCTTCCACCAGCCTCAGTCAACATGGCCAGTTGCTCAGCTGGAAGGCCACATGTTCCCCATCCTTGCACCACAGCCCACCCCATCACAAAGCCACAATAAGAACATAAGAGCCTTTTGGATCGGGCCAAAGCCCATCTAGTCCATCATCCTGTTCTAACAGCGGCCAACGAGATGTGGGGAGCCCACAAGCAGGAATCATGGAATCAGAGAACTGTAGAGTTGGAAGGGACCCCAAGGGTCATCTAGTCCAACCCCCTGCAATGCAGGAATCTTAACTAAATCATGCCCAACCTCTGCTTAAAAGACCTTCAAGGAGAGTCCACCACCTTCCAAAGGAGTCCGTTCCACTATCAAACAGCTTTTACTGTCAGAATGTTATTCCTGAGATTTAGTTGGAATCTCCTTTCTTGCAACTTGAAGCCCTTGGTTCGAGTCCTACCCTCCAGAGCAGGAGAAAACAAGCTTGCTCCATCCACCATGTGACAGCCCTTCAGATATTAAAGGTAAAGGGACCCCTGACCATTAGGTCCAGTCGTGACCAACTCTGGGGTTGCGGCGCTCATCTCACTTTATTGGCCGAAGGAGCCGGCGTACAGCTACTGGGTCATGTGGCCAGCATGACAAAACCGCTTCTGGCAAACCAGAGCAGCACACAGAAACGCCGTTTACCTTCCCGCCGTTTACCTTACCTACCTTATCTACTTGCACTTTGACGTGCTTTCGAACTGCTAGGTTGGCAGGAGCAGGGACTGAGCAACGGGAGCTTACCCCATCGCGGGGATTCGAACCGCTGACCTTCTGATCAGCAAGCCCTAGGCTCTGTGGTTTAACCCACAGCGCCACCCGCTATCAAATATCCTCAGTCTCCGCTTTGCCAAGCTAAACATACCCAAATCCTTCAACCGTTGCTCATAAGGTCCCAGACTTCAGGGCAATAGCGCACTTTGCACCTGCAATTTGAGTAACTGGTATACAGGAGTGTATTGACCCCCACACTGACGGCAGAATATGGCTACCCTGGCTAGTAGCCAATGATAGCCTTATGCCCCATAAATTTATCACAACAATCCCCCCCTTTTTTTTAAAGGACCACAATATTTTAATTTGTGCGTGTTTGCTGATAATGACCTACATACACTTCTGGAAGCAACTTTATATTATGATAGGCATTCCATTATTATTGCTGTTGTTGTTGTTAATAGGCATGCCATTGTTGTTGTTATGAAAATGGTAATTTTCGACATTCATCTGGTCCTTGGCATCCTGCAAGCCCTACAGCCTGAGGCTTTCTTTCTCAAGCGTTTCCTTCTAACTCTCCTGAAATGCTTGCCTTTGTTCGAAACGGCTCTTTACCAATGCAAAAAAAAAAAAAAAAAGCCAATTTCCAAACACACAAAACAAACAAACGCAGCGAGAACAGTTCGCGCCTCACTTCCTGGGGAGCCCTTGTTTTCCCCGCCCCCTCAAAAAAAGGGGGGGTAGGAAAGGTTTGGGCAGACGTAATCTTCGGTGGGAAATTCCAGCGCCCATCCCCTCTTCCCCGCGGCTCCGTCCAGGATTTGCCCCCACTGCATTTCCCGCCCGCAGCCTCCCCTGCTTGCTCGCCCTTCCTCGCCGCGAACGCAAAGCCTTGCACGGTTGCATCAGCAGCAACCGTCCCAAATTCCATAGTAAAACTCCTTGATCTCTGGGGGTAAGCCAGCAGCCACGTAACTTTACTGGAAGACACCCGAGCCCAGCAGGCAACGCCGCCCGGCCGTGCGTGCGTGCAAAGCAGCAACAGCGGCGGCGGCGGCAGCACAACTCAGCCGCAAAGCGCTCCTCCCACCGGGGAGGCATTCCTGGAAGGGGCGGGCCCGACGGAAGGGAAAGGGAACAGCGTGCGTCTCTCTCCAGCCCGGGGTGGCAGCGGCCTAGCAGCCGCTCACGGGACGCGACCAAGTCTCCGTGTCGGCTCTTAGCCGGGATCCCAGCAATACGGGCGGATTCCGAGCTGTTTACCCTTCTCAAACGGTTTAGGCCGCTCAGGACATTTCTGGCGGCGGCTGCAGTTCCGCAGCTCCGCGCCCACTTTGGCAAAGCGCAGCCATCAGGCGTGGATCGCGTGAGCTCGCCTTCCAAAGCGCCTACGACACGTGGATCGTTTGGTCTGCGTTTCTTTTAAGGTTCTTTGGGCCCGATCCTGTGTGTGCTCACTACTCAGAGGTAAGCCCTCCAGAGTTCATCGGGGCTGCTTCCCAGGCAAGTGAACAGGGCTCTTGCAACCCAACGTATGTTTACTTGGAAGTGAGGCCCACTGAGTCCGATGGGGCTTCTGCACAAGTCTAAACATGTCGATCTTGAAATAAGCTCCTCCCCGTGCGCGTTTTCACGGGACTTCATAGACTTGCGCGATCTCATGTTACCCAAGTCCGCATTTCCTCGTCGGCCTGTTGGCAAGTGAGGCTTGCAAATAAATAACCTCGGGTTTATTTAGGGGTCTACCATGAGCAGTTTAGGGAAACGGGGCGCGTCCAGCAGGTCCAGGAAAAAGCCTGGACGGCTATGGGGATATTTCAGTTCCTTCCTAGAGGAGGGAGCGCTGCAATTATAATAAGTTGAATGGTATTAGGCGCTCGCTACTTAAAGCAGACCCGGGCAAAGCGGGGCAATGCGTTATGAGATCGAGCGGCCGCTCTACGACAGAAGAGTCGGCTATTACTGCAAGTTGCATTTGGGGCAAAGAATAACAAGAATAAGCGGGCGAAGGGAGTACCGCGCGGGCGGGGCAAACCGACTCGGTACGAAGCTTCGGCCAAGTTGCGCGGCACCAGCGATTCTTTTTATCTCCGCCGCTGCTTCTACTACTCCCCGACACGCTAAACCTGACATGCCACCCAAGATCGGTAGCACGTACTTGGGAGGGAGCAAACGCCCTTTTGCAAACAATGCGTCCTGATGCAAATCTTCCCCACCCTGCCCTTGCTTTGGGTCGCGGTGCTAATCGGCCCGTGTATTCTGCCACAACAGCGCAAGCCGCCCACACTCGAGTTTTGCACAAGCAGCATTTTAAGAAAATCCACCGGCGCCACGAATAAAGTGTCGGCTTCTCTTCACCGTTCTCCCCCCCCCCCGGCCGCCCCAGTATTATTATTACTATTAGCGTTTCGATCCTGTTCCCCTTTAAGCGGAGCTCGGTCTGTTGCAGACGACCAGGGAATCCCTCTCCGAGCGCGTCACTCTAACCAAGGAAACCCGCGCTCGCGTAGTACAACGCAAATGACCATCTTTGGCAACGGCGACCTGCGACAATGGAACAGACTAAGCCTACGCGCTGGGAGGGGACGGGGGACGTGACACGAGGAGGCCGCGGCCGGGAAATGGAGCCCGCCAGGCGAACGGGCCGGGCTGCGCCTCCGCAGGGACGGAAAACGGGGCGAGGAGAGCGGGGAGCCGCCCGGGCTGGGTTTGGCTCGGCGGGGCTGAAAGGACAGCGCGCTCTGGCCCTGTTCTCCCTCCTCCGCCAAGTGGGAGGCTCCGCGGGGCGGGGCCAGAAGCCTGCGAGTTTGACGTTTGCGAATCCACATGGTACAGCTCTTCAGAGGCAGGGAGATGGAATAATAAGACTGTGGATTTGAACTAATGCCATTGCACTGACTCATTCAGGGAGAGTAAAGGAGCTCCGAGAACAAGGATACTAGAAAAAGAGAGAGAGAGAGGAGAGGGAGGGGGAAAGGAGGGGGGAAAAGAAAGATCGCTTTTATGGCCGAGAAGGGCAGCATCAAGGGTTAAGGGATCAATAATTCGGGGGAGTATTTTTAAGCAGCAACAACTAACGATCAGGAGCCTCCGATCCCGGGCTGAGTCATCCATCCAGTCCAGTTGGAGCAGGAAGCTGGCACTTTTCTGTAGGGCTTAATTATACAGGAGGTTTAGATGCTCCTGATTTAAAAACTACAGGGCGACCGCGGCTTTGAAAGCAGTAGGGAGATCTCCACAGGAAGTTGGAAGGAAGGCAAACGAGATACATCAAGCTTTCTCTTCTGTAGAAATAAAAGTCGCATTTGGAAAACTATTTTTTTAATAAGTATATTGTTTTGATTCTCGCGTGAGAGGCAATGATTTGCCTCTAGAGCGCGTGCATTTTTTTCCCCTTCTGCACTGTATGCGGAGGTTTTTTTGGATTTATTTTTTAATTCCTACAGTTGCTGTCGCAAGAAACAAAAAACCAGGAAAGGACTTATTTTTCATTGCTTAAAATAGAGAAAAGGGAGGGGGGAGCAACACCCTGCCAGATCCACTTGAGTGCATTTGGAAAATCCTAAGGCAGTAAATAAAAAGATCGGAAGCGAACAAGACAGGGAGGGACTGAGGAACAAAACAAACAAACAGCGTGCACGGGTTTTTTTGTTTTTTTTAAGATTTCAAAGTTTATTTCTCACCTCGGACAATGTACCAGGATTTCCCAGGGAACTTTGATACCTCCTCCCGGGGCAGCAGCGGTTCTCCAGGCCACCCGGAAACTTACAACAGCATCACAGCTCAACAGGTAGGGGCGAGGGGGGAGTGGTCCCTCTCTATGCTTTTCCCTCTTAAATCTCGAAATGCCTCTGAGGGCATTTTACCTGGAAGAGGAGTTCAGGTGATCTCAGCAGGTTTCCTTTCGCTCTGCGTATACTGAGATCGTAGGTGATTTCGCGCAATCCAGGTCCCTGATACTGGTTGTTCTCCCCCCGTGTCCTTTTCCCCCTTTCCGGCGAGCGAGCGAGCGCCTCCGCCGCCGCCACCTCCCCGGCTCCTGGCTCCTTAACCAAACAGCAAAGTTCACTAACCACACCCCAGTCCACCTCCTGCGAGCGCGCTCCGACCTCTCCCTCAGTCGCAGATCAGGGCGAAGGAGGCGGCGGCGCGTTGCCTTTGGCCTCCAGTCCAACAGCCGCCGAGACACCTTAAAAGGAGGCGGAAGCGGCTGCTTGGCGGCGGCGCTGCTGCTGCTGTTGCGAGAGTTTGGGCGGGCGAGCGCAAAGCCGCGCCGGAGCTGGAAGTTTCGAGCTCGCCAGGGCGCCGGAGCCGAGAGGCAGGCAGCCTGGGCTGCGACGCGGAGCCGCCGAGGCGGCGATCGGGGCTACAAGTAAGCGCGGGGGTTTCTCTCGGGGGAAGAGATCGGAGCAGCTTCTGCAAGCCGGGGATGCCTTTGCTGGAACTGTGCGCTTGGAAGGAAGAAAGACCCCGGCGCGCTCGCAACCATTGCGGGACTGAATTGGGGACCGGTCCATACGTGCGGGGGAAACGGGGATGGGAGTGGGAGGACGGAACCCACGGCCGCTCTTAAGATCCCGGTGAGGGTCTTCTCTCTACCCTCTGGGTGTGCCTCTCCTTGGCCCAAAGGGGAGATGGCCTTTTGCCTAGTGGCAGTTCGGGGTATCTGCCCGGGGTGTGTTTCCGAGCACGTCGGGAAGAGAGGTGAAGGGGGGCGCAGGGCAAGGGTGTAAGGAGTCGGAGTGCCCCAGACGCGCGCCTCTTCGCCAGCAGTGCTCTACGTGCGCACTGGCAGGAGAGCAGCGGGGTGGGGTGGCCACAATGTTTGTCTCAGTAGGAAATTTGGGGGGGGGGGATACACGCGCACAAAGGGGGAACCGTGAGTAGTTGCCGGAAGTGTGGGCCCGACGTATGCAGGCTGCAATCCTAGACCTCTTTACCTGGGAGGACACGCCGTTGAAGTCAATGGGGCTGACTTGGGCTTCGCTGTGCGTTGTTAATGTGGACTGAAACTCCTGGTGGAGCGTAAACAGTCTAAAAAGGGACGTGTCGGTCTCAACATCGGTTGTGGCAGGCGTGGAAGAAAATCACATTGTCTGGGCATGCTGGGGAAATGTCAGACACCCACCAACCCAAAAATAAAAAAGTTATGCTGCAATCCTCAAAACAACCTTCCTTTTTACATTGCTGGAAAGCTTGAAGAAGTGATCAGCTTGTGAAGTGCAGTTTCGCCCTAGTTCAAATTGACTTTGTTTGGTTTTACTTCTGCCCCAAGACCTCAAGGAAATGTAGCCGCACAATTTGTAACGACCAAGCCTTGTTGGGGATATTTATCTGTAGCCTACCCATTGGTTGATGTGATTCAGATCCAGTAGGCTTGGGAAAATAGAAAAGCTTTTGGCTATAGGGGGGTCCTGATCACTTCTTGAATATCACCTGAAAACATGGAGTGCCTTGCCCATGACAGCTGAATGAACTAAATAGTTTGTAATGGATTTTTGAGGGGGTTTCAGAAGTGAGAACCCCAGTAGAGAAGGGATACGCCTTAGTAATAGCTCTTTCTTTGGCTTTGGTTATACAAGCAGGATGCTGGGATTATGTAAAGTGAGAGAAAGAGTGGCACATCTGATAACTTTTTGGGTAGATTTGCTTTTAACCTGTTGCTCTTTCACTTCCTCCAGTTCCTTATCTCCTTATTCGCAACACATACAGATGTGTAGAGATGGCAAATGGAACATGAAAGGAATCTCTCCAATGATCCTTGGTCACAGACCCGGATTTACATATTTATATGCATTCGTGAGAGACAAATGTATTGGCAAGCCAGCTGTTTGGACCCCACACCCTGAAATGGAGTTTTAATCATATTTTGCAGGCTTGGTGGCAGATCAAGGGCATTAAATTAAGAGACATCTTCCAAAGATTGGGCTGCTTGAGAAATGCAAAGAAACAGGTCTAGCCACCAAGCCGGATTTAAATCCACTTTGATTCAGTCAAGTGGGTTTGTGAATTAAGCTACAGTGATTTTGAAAGACCCTCTGAAGAAAACAAAACAAATCTGTGTATTTTTCATTTTAGATCCCTTTCCTGGGAAAGGGTCTAGAAAGATGTGGAAAATTGGTTTCTTTCCAAGTGCTGAAGTTGGGATAGGCTATATGAATTAGATATATTTGTCTAAATGTGCTTTTATTTACTCGTTCTGTTTGCAAAATGAGGGGCAGTTTTTAATTGTTTAAGCTGATTTCCCAGAAGACATTGAAAAATGTGTGGGGCAGCAACCACAATCTTTGAGAAAGGTTCTGTAGGTCCATACCAAAGGGAACATTGTATTATCCCCCACTCCCCCATGGCTCCTCAGTTCCTTCAGAAAGATTTGACCCTTCTCTCCCTTTCACAAATAAGTATTCAGTTTTCTGAGATGAGTAAATGAAACACTAAGCATGTTTTTCCACATTGACTAAAAGCATACAATTCCACTTTATTCTCATTGTGATTTCTTTCTCTCTTTTAATAGTAGCAACTTTTTAAAAAGCAATATCTCTGGAGGCAAATATGTTTTTCCTGGGCTCTGCCAGTGTCCTAAGCTGTCAAGGCTGCTGAAATACTTTTTTCCTTCTGTTTTTCGAGGTCCTCTTCCTTCTTTCTCTCTCTCTCTCCACCCTCCCAATAATCTTCAGGCTTAAATATGTCAGCATGTTAAAACAAACAAACAAATCATTTCAGGATTATGAAGAGGCATCAAGATTCTAGAGTAGAAAATACATAAACAACAGTTCTTACTACGCTAGTGTAGTCTCCACAGAAATCAGTAGACCTTCCAAGAAACAAGTTAAAGACAAGGATGCAGTAACTTGATGGATAACTTGAGTCCAGTAGAGTTTTCATTCAAATAATACTTTACACACAAATTGGGTGGATTTCTGGATTGCAACTGTGATAACATAGCTGCATAGATTTCTGGAAATCAGGTTGTATAAGACTGCTGTATTAGCAAAGGCCAATTAGTTGTTTCATTGTAAGTACAGCTGTATGTTTTCTACAGTCTCAACTATAAAAGTGGCCTTCATGACCGTGGTAAGTTTGCCAGTTTGCTGAAATAGCTACACTTCCATTGGATTTGAAACTACCATATTAGAAACATACTCTAAATGGTGAAACTGCTATACATGGGTTAGAAGATTGTCCTTGACTGAGCACAACTTAACTATTGGTTAGTTTTGAGAACACCACAATTAAAAGTATTGTGTTTGCAGTGAATAATAAAATTTTATGCCATGTAGATCGTGCTGTGTTGTCCAGAAATTGTGACTGCCATTAGTTTACAGCTGCCATGTAAAACCAGTGGAAACTGTCAGGTAATTCTACTTTATAGAGACATAATCATTTACTGTTTGGAAGTAAAACAACAACAACAACAACAACAACCCCACCCTTCTTTTCTCTCTCCAGCTTTTGTTCTAGCTTGAATTTCCTTTTCCTTGTCTCAAATTAAATGCCATTTCATGAGCTGTGCCAAACTACAATTAATTCAGTGCTATGCTGCTGTCGAAGTGCTGGAACCATCTCCTAATACATTCACAGTAGCCTTCTAATGTAGCCATTTCCATTCAATGTTTTTAATAGCGTCTGTTCGGGAAGGAGATGGAATGCATTTTCGTGTTGGCGCCATCTTCAAGCAAGCTAGGGAGTGATATTGTTGCTTTCCTTTGGTATTCAGACATTCCTTTGCTGCCTGAATGGACCTCGCTGGTATTTATTGTGGAATGGTTTTTGACCTTCAGAATGCAAGTTCTTACAGGGTCCATGCAATTTGGCTACATTTTTGGGATAGCTCTTTTGGTACAGCGTCTAGCCTGAAATGATGCTGGAACTTGAAGAATGAGAAATATTTCCTGTTGAAACTGAAATCTGTAAAATCAAGGGTCGTTGCACTCTCTCTATTTCCCTGTGGGTGCCCCTCCCTATTTTCTCTCGATCGGTATTTTCTTAGGTCTTTTCGAAGATGTCTTATGTGCCATCCTAGGCTAAACCTACAGCTTCTCTGAGAGGCGTTGCACAATCTCATCAGTTACACAAACATACGATATTTCGTAACATGTTTACATTGGCTGGCCTTGCCTCTCTTCCCCCCAGAATGCCTTTCTTACCACTTCTGTAATGTGTGTGAAACCTACTGGCAAAGTGAGGCGTAAGGTTTTTTTCACATCAGCTAGTTGTGGACCTTCTTTGTTTTTGGTTATGTGTGCTGTAAACTGTCCTATATAAAACTTTGCAAGTGGTGCCAGTCGGTGACATTCCGCACACATCAAAGACCTTATTTATTTATTTATTTATTTACGAGAAATGACTCTCTCAGTGTCCAGGTCGAAGCCAAAGACGCCTCTTGGGTGCCCTCTGTAGGCTGTTCCACGTAGACAGGTTTCCAGAGATGATACACAATGGAAAGAAATCATTTGCTCACTTACAGTAAATGTGGGGAATCTTGTTTGGGAAAATGGATAGAGTGAGTTTTCTTTTTAAGGCTTGTCTGTACTTTGTGGCCCAAATGATCACTTTAACAAGACTGCCGATGAATGTGTGTTCATATTCTCAGTCCGCCACTTCCCAAGCTCAATATTCCAAGCTCTCCTTCAGTGTTTAGCTCTCTCTGTAAAGCTGCATGTTGTTGTAAATTATGCTCTTCAGAATTCACTGCATCTCTTGCCTCGCTTCTAAGATGAAGATGACACCGGTCAATTGCTTGATCAGTTCAACTGGCTGTGTGCTTATGGTTTGTATGTGCACTTAGAACACATTTCACTCTTTGTCCTGGTATCCTTTCGTGGTTGTCAAGCCTAAAATATTTGATCAGGCCATTCATCAGCTTCTTTTGGTTTTTATTCATGTGCTCCATTGTGTTTCCCCACCCATATTCTGTTAGCTGTGGCTATAGGTGGTGCAGGAAAGAGCTGTTTCTCTTCAGTTCCCTTTATGTGTCCGTCCTCACAACCACACACACTGCCTACTTTCCTTCAGCTGCAGGGCCAACAACCTTACGTGCTGCTTAATTTTAGCTTTAAATTTAATCATCATCATCATCAACAACATATGAGGGGTCTTTGAATTCAAGCTTGCCTGGAAGTTACACCCTCCATGTCTGCTATTGTTTGAGAGAACTCCTTCGTGAAGGAAGGTTGCTTGGCATCTGCTCCCAAGACATTCCTGCTTCCCTTGCTTTGCCCTGTTCCAGATTGAACTCTCCATAACACTCAAGAAAGAAAGAAAGAAAGACAAATAATAATGTCAGAATAGATTTCTGCATGGTTTCTGCCAGTGATACACTGTTCAGCATCTGGAAGATTTCTACACCTTCCCTGCAATTAAGAGCAAGTGGAAATGTCATTTTCCAACCCAATAATAATGAATAATAAGAAGTATTTATTTATACCTCACTTTTCCCCTGACGGGAACTATCCTCTTCTTCCATTACAAAATAAACATGTGAATTAATCAGGGTGAGGGGTGGGATGTTATACTGGGATTGATGAAATTACTTATCTTGTCTTGCAAGATTAAGGCAAGGGGAATCGGAAGGGGTTGGGCTATGTTACGTTTTGTTGCTGGGGGTAGCTCAGTTGGTTAGAATGTGGTGCTGATAGTGCCAAGGCTGCAGGTTCGATTCCCGTATGAGACAGCTGCATATTCCAGCATTGCGGGGAGCTGATCCTCAGGGTCCCTTCCAACCCTCTGATTCCAACTTTTCCTAGCCACTCTGACAGTTCCTTGTAGAGCAAAAGCGAAGAACCTGTTGCTCTTCAGATGTTGATTGACTAAAACTCCCACCATTCCTTACAATTGGCCATGTCGCCTGGGGCTGGTGGGAATTGGAGCCCAAGAACCATGTGGAGGGCCACAGGCTGTAGATTTGATACCATTATAATATTTCACTACAAATTAGTTATTTCTGTTTCGATTTGGAAAACGCTGGGTAACATGAGATCTATTATGTGGGTTCGTTCTATTTCTGTTGGTGACAGAATGATCTTTTTAGTAAATAAAGCTTTCTAAAAGAGAGGTGGTTGTGATGCAATGAGGAGAATGATTTGATTTTGAAGGCTCTGATTCATCCTGTGGTTAATAGGCTGGCCTTCAGATAACTAACCTCACAGTGTTGTCGTGATGGTAAATAAGAGCACGATGAAGCATTCTGTGTGCCGAAAATGCTGCGGCAATTAATAACAAAATTTGTGAAACGAGGAACCATAAGAGTTTATCACTCCACGGAGATAGCCCTTATTTCCACATATTGCATTCTTGTAGACATTATTTGCCTTGGGTGCTATGGCTCCTTGGTGACCTTCATTTTTGCAGTCTTGGATCAGACCACTTTAGATTGTTTGTATTCCTCTGAGTGAAAAATATTTTAGAGATTGGCTGCTCGAGGTTTGATCAAGTTTAATGCATAAGGTGTTACTTTAACGTGTTATCCATGCATCGAGGCAGCTTTACATATGGCATTTTCCCTACAGAGGTACAGGAGAAAACAGGAACATACAAGAATACTGTCATAAAGATTGCATACATTTTTTTAAATCACTGTGATTGTATGTGAAGGATTTATGTGCCATAAAACAGATAAATGCACAGGTGTAAGTTCTCTTCCTCCTACAGCTTTGTAGGTAAAATGTCATTTACTTTAAAGGTAAATGTAGATGAAGCAGACTGTCGTACAATAAGCAGGCTTGAAAAAGGTCCCTCCATGGAGGAGTGGGTAGAAGGTAGCTCAGGATCTACTTCTAGATCTCTTGAGTGATTTGCAGAAGATCCGCATGGGGTTGTGACACTTAATTGTTTAACCTGTAGCAGCAACAAATATGCTATCTCTCACTAAATAGGCTGTTGAAATGAAGACAAGACGTGATTTTGTAACTCAACTGTTCTGGTACTGAAAACACATACCTAGGCTCAGAATGTGCTCAGAGGCACCCTCTTCTTCAATAATAATGAAACATCTTTTTGTGCTTCGCTCCGGTTAATAGATCTTGGCGTTCTAGTAAGAAACAAAGCTGGTCCAACAAGCCTAAGTCTGCCATTCCCTTCCATAAGGCAGTCATGGTTGGGGAAGTCTACTCTTACTAGTAGAGCTATGGTTGTAAGCGGCTGGTATATGCATAGTAGACCTGTAAGCAATCACTGCCAGTTGTACCACTGCCTTTCTGTTGAGCTGGCCTTCAATCCAGTGGCGCATGGTACCCATTGGGACTGGTGGGTTAGAAAGCGGGGAGGCCAACGGTGAGTGGAGTCAGAGCCCATAACTGACAGAGCCAACTCCATTTTAGTATTGTCATCCTTCTCCACCCTGTTGGGTTCTACAAAGACGACAATGAGACTGAGGAGGATGCCCAGAAAGCTGGCAGCCAGGGCCCACGCCCTGGAGTGGTTGTAAGTAAGAAATCAGACAGGTAGGGTTTGGTTTGAGGGCAGATTGAGGTTGGTGGGGCAATGCCCCATTTCCCGTAGTAAACCAGCCTCCGCTACTTCCAGCTTCTAGTTGTTTGGGAGAGGTTTGTTTCTGGCTCCTGATCTAGGTGACTTGGAGGTCATTGTAATTTATTATGACCTGTCAAATATGGACTCCTCCTCTAATTAGTCACTTAGATAATAGGAAGGATATTGCCAGAGAGGGAACATTGCTCCAGTGTGGGTCGTTTAACCCGTTATTCATCTTAAAGCATGCATGCGAGGGGTAGCTACACAGCTTGGAAGGAGATGCCAACTAAACATATGGAAAAACTTTCTGGCAGGAAGAACTGTGTGAGAGTGGAATGGTGTCCCTCAGGAGGTGGTGGACTCTCCTTCCTTGAGGGTTTTTAAGCAGAGGATGAATGGCCATCTGTCATGGATGCTTTAGCCGAGATTCCTGCATTGCAGGGGGTTGGACTAGATGGCCCTTGGGTCCCTTCCAACTCTACGATTCTTCACCTCAGTCACAATGGTGAGAAACTTGCATCCTCCCCAAAATCTGGCAGGATAAGTCTCTTTGGCAAAGACATCATAGTATGGCACTGAACAGTCTGTCGGCATTTACCTGTTAAAGAGGTTCAGCTGGAAGATAACAAGCAATTTGTAAAATTTCATTAACAGGTTTCCCTCCCAATTTATTTTCAGGAAGGATGAGTCTGACACAAAAGCTGAGAACAAAGTGCTAGTTTTCTCACGGACACTGCCTTGCTGTGGCCAATAAATTTGAGTTCACTGGGCTTCCCATCAACTACATATGTTCCACATATCAATAATTTCTATTGTTGTTGTCTTCAACATAGCATGCATATACTGTTGGAAGTGCAGAAACTTGAGTCCAAAAAACATTCATTTTACTTCAGTGTGCTCGCCATCATTTTCTCAAAGAGGGTCAGTCTTTGAATATATATTAGTTGCAATAATCAGAAACACAACTTCCATGTTCAATGGCTATGTGCTTTTGCTGGATGTGGTGGGGAACAAAACAGCATGAGGATTGTTCCCTCTTGTGCCTTGCTTGTGAACTATTTTCCCAGGGATATCTTGCTGCCTTTAATGGGCAGGTGAGAGTTGTGGTCCTGATGGACCTTGGGTCTGATCCTGCAAGGCAAGTCTTCGTAATTACAGTGGTGCCTCGCAAGACGAAAAGAATCCGTTCCACGAGTCTCTTCGTCTTGCGGGTTTTTTCGTCTTGCGAAGCAAGCCCATTAGAGGTTTAGTGGCTTAGCGCTACAGTATTAGCGGCTTAGCTGGCTTAAAGATCAGCTGATAAGCGGCTTAGCATCAGCTGTTAAGCGGCTTAAAGATCAGCTGATAAGCGGCTTAGCCATCAGCTGATAAGCGGTTTAGCGGCTTGGGAAAAAGGGGGGGGGGAAGGAAAAAAAACCCGCAGGAACTCGCAAGACATTTTCGTCTTGTGAAGCAAGCACATAGGAAATTCGTTTTGCGAAGCACCTCCAAAACGGAAAACGCTTTCGTCTAGCGGGTTTTCCGTCTTGCGAGGCATTCGTCTTGCGGGGCACCACTGTAGTTTTTGTGGTGGTGGTGGCTCTCCTTGAGTGTGGATGATTTTCAAGGACTTCAAATGGTTCTTAGTTAATGGATCTAAAATCCCAAGTGGTGGGGACATGATAGGCCTGTAAAACTAATCCAGCATTTTTTATGTTTCTTGAATGGCTCCCTTGTTAGACAAAAACATTCCTTCTCTTAGATTTTCCCCTCCAGGGCCTGCCCATTGTTTTGTTTTGTTGCTTCCATTCCTCCAGAGTTTTGGTGCCAGTAAACTATCCAGATGGATTTACCTCAGTCTGGAAACAAGGTGTACAAGGCTTCTTTTTTATATATTTTATTTTGCAGGAGATCATTACCTAGTGCCTTTTTAAAAGCTTCTGTTTTGTTTTGTCTAGACAGAGCAAAGAGCTGCAGGGAATTTTTCTGATCTGAATCCCAAAACACATTTTATAAGGTATTATTAAAATATAGGCACGTAAATCTGCTGCAGCTGGAGGCATCTTTATATTCTACCCTTTTTTTTATTATTTTAAAAAGAAACACTCCTTCCATGTGATCCCAGAATGGGTGTGTTGTACCAGCAGAAGGCACAGCTGTTTCTCAGCTCAAAACCCATGGTCATGTTGGTGAAACAAGCACCAGAAAACAGTCTCCACCTTTGTATTTTAAAAGAGATTTATTTATTTGCCACGCCTCACCAGCAGGTTCATAAGGCAGCTTGCAACATAGAAGAGAAAAAAACCCCAACAATTAACCATTCAGACCACAACAAATAAATAATAGGTAGCAGCAATCAGATAAAAATCTGATAAACAGCAAAGTAATGTCATACTGAAAGCGGTGTGTGTCTCTTAAGTTCTTTGTGAAAGGTATTTAAAGTGGTAGGCTGATTGCAGTATATGCTGTTACTGCTGACTTTGCTAGGCATACGAGGGAATTTGTGTATCTACACTTCGCATGCAAAAAAAGGGACTATTTCATGGTTGGCTGTCTCTTTGCCTTCCAAGCAGCTGTGGCCATAGGTTTGTTGTGATGGGTCAGGGCGGGATAGTCCTTATCTCAGGCCACTGTCTCTTCCGAGGCTGGTGTAGTTCTGCAGCACCCTGAGCCAACTCCTCATTTTGTCTTGCTGCATTGCATCCTGGGAATGGAAGAAAATGGATTGGGCTGTAGCCAGGCTGCCTGCTGAGAATTTGTGAGGGAGTGAATGGAAGATGCCCAAACAAGAATCTTGCCCATTTGTCTTGCCCAACCTGTGTGGGTTTATTTCCTGATTATTTCCCCCTCCTTTACTTTCTTCACATTTTATTGAATGTGGTGGTAGGCTGCGGTGGAACGCAACTGTGTAGGGTGGGGATTAAGATTTTTGAATATTCCTCCATGTTAAAAGCCAGAAACAAATTAGTATTATTTATTCAATTTATGAGTTGCTGGTCCTGAAAGAAAAGCTCCAAGTGACGTTAGAAATGTTGGAAAGGGCTACACTGGTGAGAAAAGAAATGCTTAATCTGGGTATAAGTCCCACTGAACTCTGTGTGACGCTTCCAAGTACACATGTACATGATTACACTGTTAGTGGATTAGTTTGGTAAATGACTCAAAATGGATATGTATGCTATGTCCCAAGACACTTTGACTGCCTGATGCTCAGTGCCATCTCATTTTCAGGTTGAAATGTATTTCCTACAAATTGTCAGGTGGTTGATGTAATTTTTAAAACTCATAATCCCTAGTGGAATGAAGGAACCAAACAAACGCATGTCTTGTATCTCAGCTCTTGGAATAACCTTTCAATTTTTCAACTTGGGGTCAAAAGTGTGGATAACTTTCTGTGTCTAGTCTTCTGTGCTGTGCAAATTGCCCTGCAAGTGATGACCTAGCTTGTTGGCCCTGCATGCAGAAGGTTCTAGATTCAATCCTTTGCATCTCCAGGGTAGAACTGGGGGTGTCCTCTGCCTGAAACCCTGGGGGATCAGAGTGGACAATGTGGAACTAGATCAGGGGTCCTCAAACTTTTTCAGCAGGGGGCCAGTCCACTGTCCCCCAGACCTTGTGGGGGCTGGACTATATTTTTGTTTTGGGGGGAAATGAATGAGGGACGATGAGTGGCGCGTGAAAGGGCTCTGGAGAGGGGCTGGCACCAACAAAGCCTAGCCCCTTTCCTCCTCTAGGCAGGGCGAGGAGAAGCCAGGAGGAGAGAGGGAGGAGGCGCCGCCGTCGTGGGAAGGAGAGGAAAAGAACACATGGCAACCCATGCGGCGATTCCCGGACCGTCCCCTGGCCAGATTTAGAGGGCAATTGGGCCTGATCCGGCCCGCAGGCCTTAGTTTGCCAACCCATGAACTAGATGGACCAATGCTCTGACTTTTGAAATATAGCAGCTTTCTATGTAGAGTGAAATAGCGTTGTTTTGCCACAACTCTGGACTGTTCAGTTGGGGTGGAATGTAAGTAAATGTAAGGAGTTTGGGAATGTAAGTAAATGTAAGGAGTTTGGGACAAGGGTGGGGAACCCGTGACCCTCCAAATGTTTTTGCACTTGCAACTTCTCTCAACTTAGACAGTGGTCATGCTGAGTGGAGCTGATGGAGGTTGGGATACAGCAACGTCTGGAGGGCTATAGGTTCTCCACTCCTTCTCTAGAGTTTTAGGGCAACCCACAGGCAGAGCACATGCAGCATATATTAAGCTGCTGGGTTTAATCTTCCAGCATCTTCGGTTAAAAATAACTTGCATAGCAGAACTGAGAGAGACCTTGGCTTGAGCACCTGCAGAGCAAGCTACTGCCCGTCAGAATAGGCACCTTGCCCTCCAGATGTTGTTGCATTGCAGTTCACTGGGGCTCGTGGGAATTGGAATCCCACAACATCTGGAGGAGACTCCCACCAGGTGTCCCAAGAACAGTCAGTGCTGCTGAGCTAGATGTTCTCAAAGTCTTGCTTGGCAAAAGAACATCTCCTGCTTCTGTGCTGGCGTGCCACGCCTGCCACCTTGCTTAACGTTCCACTAATTCTGGTTCTACCGATTTTCTCTCCCCGTCTTCTAGAAATTCCGGGTAGATATGCCAGGATCGAGCAACGCTTTTATTCCTACCCTGAACGCCATCACCACCAGCCAAGACTTGCAGTGGATGGTGCAGCCCACTGTCATCACCTCCATGCCAAGTGCCTACTCTCGCTCGCATCCCTACAGCCATGGCCTGCCAAATCTGTCCTCGGTTACCGGACACACAGCTCTTCAGAGACCGGGTGTCATTAAAACCATTGGGACCACGGTGGGCAGGAGGAGGAGAGATGAGCAGGTAGGTACACTGGTTGAAATGACTTTGTGCAATATGCTAGCTGCATGGTCTTGGAAGTTCTCAGAGCTGAGTGCAGAGCTTCCAAGGCAAATAACTTCATGTTCCAAGGGTTTTCGCTGACCCCATTTTTCTCTTTGTGTCCATGGGATACATGAGGCTAACTTGGAGAGTGCTGCATCGGGCAGATACTTCTATTTAGGGAGTTCCAAAAAACCGTCGTTACCATTAGAGCACATGCTTGCTTTATCCCCTGTCATTTCCAATGAAGGGCTATTGGAACAAGGCTGGGAAGTATTGAGGACCTGTAAAAACTTGCCACCGGTCGGGACTTCCAAGTTAAATCATTGGGGTGACTTTGTCTTTTCCTTCGGCTTCCATTTGTATAAAGGCTTTGGTGGCATTTCCCCCAGTGTCTGTCCTTCTGGAATGAGTAGATTCTGATAGTTATTATTGGATAGTCTCCATTGTTTTCTGTGTTTTGTACTTGATACTTCACTTTTGATTCCTGACCTGACCTGTACACACAGTTTATCAGAGCACAAAATGTCGTTGGGAAGATGGGTAGTATTGTTGTGTTAATAATAACGTTTCCTGACCAGAACGTATATTTGGAAACCTAAAGCCAAGTTCTTGTGTTTGGCATACTTTAATAGGGAAGGTTACTGGAGCAGAGCTAGTTTTTAAACACCTTTCTATTTTGCTGGTCCTGGGGGTATATGACTGAACTGAAGAACTGGGGACATGGTAACCCAGCATGAGGTTACACCCTAGTTTGTTCAGCCATAAACTTATTCCATTCTAAGAGCTTAAGAAGTTGTTGTTGGACCAAATACCTACCTAGTCTGACATCCTCATTCCCACACTGGCCAACCATGTGTCTCTGGGGAGCCCATAAACAGGATATTAGGGCAATGGGCCTCTCTCTTGCAGTGTATCATGGTGTTCAGAGTGATTCTGGAGATAGCACATAGCCATCATGGCTAGTGTACACTGATAGACTTATTCTCCTTGAATTTGTCTAATCCCCACTTTAAAGCTGTCTCAGCTGCTGCCTGTCACCAGATCTTGGGGCAAAGCAAATTCCATAATACATATTTAAAACAATGCTTGTTTTTAAATGAATCAAAGAAGAGGAGACAAGGCTGCTTCTCTCCACTTATGCCCCTTTCTGCTCTCTCCAGTTTCATCCAGAACCCTTCTGTTTTGAGATCAGTTTCTTCTTTAAAGCACATGCCTATCAAGAGATGATAATAAGAGTCTTTTTTCTGTGGAAAACAGCTTCAGGGTTAGGTGAGATTAGCTGCTGCTACCAGTTGAATGCTAAATCCTCCACCAACAACATCATGAGTGCCTTTGTAGTAATCTCAGACAAGGATCTTGTCAGCTAAGCTCTTTTTGACTCCCTGTTTGTTTGGCTGCATTTGCATGAAAAAGGTATTTGCGTGAGCCCAGGAGGTTTGCTTCACTTCAGTGATGTCAGATGTAAGCAAATGAGACCTTGTTATTGGAGTTTGGTAGCCTGCTCTGGGTTTTGTAGGCACCTGAGTGGGATTTGTGGCTGCTTTGCCTGATTTTGGGGGATTACTCCATCAGTGTTGCGGCCCTTTCCAGGGGAGTAGCACTGTTGGCCTTTTGCAGCAAAAGCAACAAAAGAGTCTTGCGGAATCTTAAAAACTAAGGGCTGTATCCCCCTGCCCCCAAGCTGCTCTGGAGGGTCCCTCAAATCTCTGGAACAGATTTTTGAAGGTGCCCGGGGGCCTGGAGAGAAGGGGAAGTTCTGTTGCACAAGAGGAAGGCTGTTGTGCAAGGGGAATGGCAGCATTGGGTACAACCCTCACAGGTCTACAGCATATGTTTTCATGGAGTAGAGTCTTCTTTGGCTTGGTGCCTCTGGTGTCCGAGCTTACAGAGTCTCCAGGGCTACCATCATATTGATAAAATGCAACAGGTTAGGTCAGTTAATGGATCTCAGTTTTGTTTGCATTTATCCCCAATCATCAAAACATTGTATTCTGGAGTAGTCCTACTTGAAGCATCCTTTGCCAAACTGTGTGTTTGATGCATACAATCTGAATTGAGATCATTGGTCATACATAGGCAAAGAAAGATCACCCTGATCCTATATATTTGCTTTAACCTTCCAGGTGTTGATCTTTAGCAGTGCACCCTCCAACCCCCCCCCCACACCAGTTGAACTCAGTTCATTGCCCCCAAACACCAGTGTTTGCAACTCAAGGGTGGTTAACCAGGCTTTAGGGTGCTTTCTATTGCGGAGTGTCCCCCTCGCCCCTTGTCAGATCCTTTGTGGGCAAAACGGTACAGGGACAAGGAAAAAACATTGGTCAGCTAACATTGCAGCTTTGGATAGGAGGCTTCCTAGCTCTGTAGCAAAGATGCTAGTTGAGTCTTTTATTGCTCTGGTCAAGATTTTTTGCTTCTAATTCTATGTTCACTTCTATAGAATGGATATGCTTTGCCATAAGAGCAGCTTTGTAGTTGGGAGTTTTGTCTCTTCCCTATAGGTGGGAAGCTGTAGTGGTGTTATGATAGTTTTATTTTAAAGTTTACTTACCTATTCATTGCATCTATACCCCACCTTCCCTCCCAAGGAGCTCAAGGTGGTGTTCATAGTTTTCCTCCCCCACATTTTATCCTCACAACAAACTTGTGAGGTAGGCTAGGCCGAAAGATTGTGATTGCCGCCCCAATGTCACCCACTGAGCTTCAAGGCCGAGTGGCGATTTGAATTCTCCATCTCTTAGGTTCTAATCCAATACTCTAAGCACACCAGCTATCCGAGAGAACAATAAATGTTCCCTACCTTAATTGTATTCTGTTGTACTGCCTTTAAACCAGAAGAAATTAAGATGGCTTACAACTTAATAACTTGGTGCAACCTACTGAAACGCATTAAGCACCTATTAGAGTAAAAATAAAAAGAAATCTTGTGGGTTCACCTTACTCCATGTGCCCACTTGACTGCTTTGATCTGCAAAACTGGTACTGGTGCCACACAGTCCTCATTCCACACTTGTAAGAAATCATTCTTTTTGTGTGGTGGTACCTAAGCTTTAGAACTCCCTGCCTATTGAAATCAAGCAGGCACCTTCACTGTATTCTTCTTGGCACGTGCTTAAAACACTTTTTGCTTAGGCCAGCCTATCCAGACACATAGATGTTTATGTGTTTTAATCTCCCTTAGTTTACTGCTAATTCTAATGCTTTATATAAATGCTTTTCATTACTTGTTTTTAACTTTTTTCGTTGATAATTTTAATGTTTCTTGTAAACCGCTTGGAGCTTTTGTTACACTCGAGCAACAGTTTAAATAAATACATAAGCCATATCAAAGGAACAGTAAAGCATTATGAATTGTAATTGCTTTGGCCTCCACTTGAGCTGCTGCCTCACAGCCGTATATGCACTCGGAGGCCATCTTTGATTCCTTTGTGACTTTCATCTTCTCTCTAGGGCTGGGCTGATTTGGAAAGCGTAATGTGTTAATGATGGAAAATCCCAAGCGATGCGAGTGAAAAGTGCTTCTTGATACCAAACAAAGCAGCCTATTTTTTGATTTGATACGGGCCTCTCCAATTTGTCCTGCCCTTGAGGACCTTGGCGCCTGACCTTCAAGTTAACAACTGTTTTTCAAGAGGGAAGAGGCATATAGTTTGTTTCAAGAAACAGAAGCTTGCAACATCTTCCTATGGTTTTACCTCACAAACCACCCTCGTTGTGAAACAACTTTGGGAGAGAATCGGCCGTGTGTTTGGCCTTGATTGCAGATTCACTGTCGTCTTGCCCAATCTTCCTCTTAAGTTTCTTCACCCTTTGCTCCTCCTCAATCACCACCACCTTGCTCGCTCTTCCTCTGTGGTTGACTTTCCCTTGAAGTTGTTAAGGGGTTTGCTTTTGTGACAAGTGCTCCTCCTGCCTTGGGGTTCAGAGGCTCAGGGCTGCCAGCTTCCTGAGTCAGTGTCTGGAACCGTGGTGGCTGTAGCATGGCGAGCGCAGCCCAGACTAGCTGATCCATCTCCCATGTCTGAGCCTTGGCTCTCCCTGCCCAAGGCTGGCGCTATGACACAAGTGGTTCTTTCTAGAGAATTTTCTTTGTCATACAGTGGTACCTTGGGTTAAGTACTTAATTTGTTCCGGAGGTCTGTTCTTAACCTGAAACTGTTCTTAACCTGAAGCACCACTTTAGCTAATGGGGCCTTCTGCTGCTGCCACGCCGCCGGAGCACGATTTCTGTTCTCATCCTGAAGCAAAGTTCTTAACCTGAGGTACTGTTTCTGGGTTAGCGGAGTTTGTAACCTGAAATGTATGTAACCCGAGGTACCACTGTACAGGGATTGTAAACCTAACACCCTTCAGATGATGTTGCAGAAACATCAATGGTGAACTTGGTGATGTACAGATGTTGTTGGATTCCCCCTGACCAGCTGAGTGGGGCTAATGGAAGTTGTGGAATCTAACCTCATATTTTGGGGTGGAGAGGGGGGCACATGTTCCCCACCCCGTATCTCATAACTAAAACATGTGATATATGACTATGCCCAGAGAGTTAATGAACATGCTGTGGAGTACACCAGACGTGGCTCCTTTCTCATTGTGGTTGATCATTTGGAAATGAGTTTTCTTCTTTTGCCACCTGTGATCTGATGGTGTTGTTTTTTTTCTCTTTGCTTGTTTGACCACAGTTGTCGCCTGAGGAAGAAGAGAAGAGAAGGATCAGGAGAGAGAGGAACAAACTAGCAGCTGCTAAATGCCGTAACAGACGCCGAGAGCTGACTGAGAAACTTCAGGCAGTACGTATTTCCTCCTTAGAAGTCTCCTCCTTTTTTGAGAATGCTCACTTTTGGCCATCCAGAATTTATATGTTTAATAAAGTTTGCATAATATACTGACCCTCTTCTTCAGCAAGCTTATCTTCTAGAGGAATTTGGAGTGGCCTGACACAAGTTGATGTAGTGCAGGGATCACCAACATAACACTTGTGGCGCACATGTGCTCTCAGAGGTGTGCCTCCAGGGTCTTTCTCCCCTTCTCTCCCCGGTGAATTTAGGCTTGAAAGAAGTATTCTATTGTAGCCATTAAAATAGCTTGTGGGGTGTAGATGTTTGTGTGTGGTGCCCACAACCATTTCTCCAGTTTGCAAATGGACCCAAAAAGGTTGGCGATCCTTGATCTATGTGGCAGGTCTCCCAGTTCTTTCCTGCTGGGTTTACACATGATGACACAGCAAGCATTGAAGTGGTACCATGTTCCTCAGAGCATCAAATGCTTCTACTGTTCTCTGTTGTCCTCTGTTCTGGCCCTGTCAGCTTTTAGACAGCTAGGAGACGAGAGCTGTCTTCAGCATTCTTCACATGCAGAGCTGCTGGGATCAGAAATGCTGCAGTGGCTCCAGTTTGCAGTGGATTCAGGATGTACCTCCATCCACATGTTGAGGGAAGTGTGAGAGGCAGCTAGCTCCTACCTTGTTCTCTAACCGATATGGTACCTATCCAAGCAGTGTGTGCATCAGTGTGGAAGACATTCACTCACTGTTCCTGGTAGAGATCCACAGCAATGAATTACTAAGGTGCAATATTTAGGGATACTGAGCCTTCTATATTTTGATTGAACATACCATTTTGCTGCAGTGACTCCCCCTCCCCCCAAAAATGTGAGGGTTAAGATACCTGAATATTGAAAACACCTGTTTCTTAAAAAGAAAGGGAGAAAGAAAGCATTAGTCAGCAGAGGCTTTTTGTGCCACATTCTGAGTTGCCCAAACTTATTTTTGTTTCCAAATGTATATTCTGTCCTTCAATGGCTAGTCAGCATTCCTCAAACCAGTAACTTACAAATATTTATATTAAGCCCCATCTATCTACCTGTGCTCACCTTGTTGTATATTTTAGTTTGGGCTCTTTACAAGCCGCTGTTGTTGCTGCCGCTGATCATCTTTTTTCTCCTGGATCTGTAGGAAACTGAGGAGCTGGAGGAAGAGAAGTCTGTGTTGCAGAAGGAGATCGCCGAACTCGAGAAAGAGAAGGAGAAGCTGAGGTTCATGCTGATGGCTCACAGCCCCATGTGCAAGATCAGCCCTGAGGAACGCCGAACCCCGCCATCTCACAGCCTCCAGACCGTCCGGACTGGAGTGAGCAATGCTGTAGTGGTGAAGCAGGAGCCCGTCGAAGAAGAGATCCCCTCTTCCTCCTCTGACCTCGAGAAAGGGCAGAGATCAGTCATTAAACCTATCAGCATTGTCGGGGGCTTTTATGGGGAAGAGCCGCTCAACACTCCCATTGTGGTGACCTCGACACCCGCCATCACCCCCGGAGCATCCAGCTTGGTCTTCACCTATCCCAGTGTGCTGGACCAGGAGTCTCCTCTCTCCCCCTCGGAGTCTTGCTCCAAAGCTCACCGGAGGAGCAGCAGCAGCGGCGACCAGTCCTCGGATTCCTTGAACTCCCCCACTCTGCTGGCACTGTAACCCCTTTTCCCTTTTGTCCCCCACCCCACTCAGTTACTCTGGAGGGGGAAACCCCGCCTTTGAGATCAAAAGACCAGCACAATGACTTTTTTCTTTTTTCCCACCAAGCACAAGGGCGGCAGAAGCAAGAAGAGGAAAATAGAAACTTCCTGGGACAGAAAGAACCAGAACAAATGTAAATCCATATAGGAGTGGGGTGGGAAGCAGAAGTCGCATTACTGGGACCCAAGTGCTTAGACTACATGGTGTGTGCGTGTGTAGAAGTGGGTGGGAGAGCCAAACTCCCCATCCAAAGTTTAGTGCGAACGGATGTGAGCTTCAGTAAATCGCTAGCCCGTTCCCCTGCCATTGCTGATGAATGGACTGGCGAAACCAGGTTCTCTTCTGTGCTAAGTAGTACATTCCAGTTAGTTTGATCTCATTTGGGCCTTCACCTTTTTACTTTCTGTTGGATACCATGACATTTCGAAAACTCTAACAACAACAACAAAAAAGGCTTGTGGCAATTGTCATTAAACCACTGCTGATGTTAGGATCTGCCTACGCGGGATTCTTGCTGTTGTTGGGTGAGGGGGTGGGCTTTTTGGAATAGATGGTGCAGAGCCGAGAGAGGAAAAAAATAACAGGTCCAAATGGTTCTTTAAAAAAACCACAACAACACTCCTAGTACCTTTGTTTTGGGGGAAGTGGGGTAGCATGGAAAGAAACAAGTGTTGGATATTCTGTTGACAAAAAAAGAGTCTTCCCCAAAGAGACTGGAGTATGCAGATAAACACGTTATTTCTTGGTGTGTTGCAAAAGCTATGACTACAACATGCCTCCACATCAGTGGACCAGGATTGGTGCCAAGGGAACTGGGGAGATGCCAGAGTGAGTTTCCACTAAGCCTTTGTCTCTGGCATGGGTTGTTCTGTAGTTGGCGTTTTGTCAAATACGGTGGCCGGACCCTACGTTGCCTTTCCCCTTGGCTGCCAGCCACCTTGAGTGTGATGTCTCCTCCCCACTGGCATGCCTGACTCGGATGCTGGGCTGCTCTCAAACAAAAGCCACCGGCTCCCAGCTCTGTGAACCGTTGCAGTGTAGCAGTGCTGCTATTTTTCTCTTGTGGCTGGTCCAGGAAAGGGATTTACTGAGGGCAAAAGTGCAGGAAGCAAGCTGGGTGCTCCCTTGGATAATTCCTTTCTCTCTCTGTGTGTGTGTTGCACTTCGCTCATCAGTTCCTAGCCAAAGTTTGTGTGTGTTGCAATTTGATGACTTCAGGCCTTGTAGTTCCTTGGCTCCCTTTCTGGTCCTTGGAGACATTAGCGGAAAAATTGTTTTCGTGCCTGAGTATGGTCCTCTGCCGCACTCTTGTCGCTGCACATTCAGGTGGATATGGCTGTTTGAAAACCTGTGCTCACTACTGAAATGGGCAGCGGGCTTTGCTTTTTCTCGCATCTTCTGTGGTGCCTAGACAAAATCCTATTGCACTTAAAACGGCGCAGCTGCTTGGGTTTGCAGAGCTGAATTGGAGAGAAGTTTGCTGGGTTCTCCTCTTGTTAGGTTAAGGCTTTCTTTTGTATAGAGAACATCCCGTTTAGCCCAAGCTAACTAGGGTTCCTGTCATGAGCATATTTATGTTTGCAGGTTTCCACTATCATTTTTGTTTTCATTTGACCTCAGGATTTATTAGGCAAGATGGCAGGTGGATACATGATTTCACTGTGCTCTTTGGAGACCAGCTTTCTCACCTGGGGGAATCTCTTCAAGCCATGTTAACTCCATTGGTGAGCATCGCTGCCTTCCTTGAGACTCTGCCTTAACAGCTGGGGAATTTGCTTAAGTCTTTTGAGTGTTTCCAATGAAGTCAATGACTCAACTCCCATCGACTGGCTGTTGTTTTTTTAATGCATCTGGATATCAGCCATAGTGTTAGGCCAGCTGCTTGCATGTCATTGTGAAAGGCCAGAGGTTCTCAAACCGTGCTTCACAGGCTGCTGGCAGCCCACAAGCTGCATTCATGTTGCCCACCGAAAACACTGACCAACAAGGATACATGACTTCACAGAACGGTGCTCAGAAAAACAGGCACATCCATCCAATTAGGAAATCAAGACTATGCTTTTTTAAAATGCAAGGTATGCATTGCTTTGCTTTGTAGAACAAAAGAAGTTTGTTAAGTAGTCTGGTGAGACCACCAGCAATTTTCAAGTCCATCCCCTCAAAAAGTTTGAGAACCACTGTCCTAGGCTATCTTCTGGCTAGTGAGAATAAATCAAAGCCATACTTAATAACAGCTACAATGAGAAGAAGCCAAATTCTGTAACCTGAATCAAGCATGCACGTATTTATAATTTTGAAATTCGCATTATTTATATTGCCTGTGCTGGCCATGGGGAGGAGAAAAGAGCTATGCAAAGCGCTAAAAAAACCCTACCTCTGTCCACCGGCAGTTGCGCTTAGAGCCCTTCTGTCCTCTTAAAAGTTCACCAGGCATTACCTACATATTTTCAAGCTTCTCTTTGCAGAAAGGAAAGCCACAGTTTTGGGTTTTGGATGACAGCACAAACCGCGTATCCATTTCATGGATCCGGCCTTTAATATTAAGCTGCACTTCAATCGCACAGTCGCTTAAACTCAGAGTAGATGAGAGTCCTGGTAGTAACTCTTCATATTTAAAAGCAAAACTCTACTGGAAAGGCATTTTGTTCAAGATATTAACATCCAGGCATTTTTCTTCTGACATTTCCCTTTTTAGACAGTGCCACTGGAAGAGACTCAGGCTTGTATTCAGGGCAAATGCTATTCAGAGTAGACCTCTTGGAAATGAATGAACCTGGGCTAGCCATGCCCATTAACGACAGTGAGCCTACTCTGAGGACTAGCGTTCCTGGTTCTAAGCATCATGTAAAAGAAAATATTCTAAGCATAACAGGGAGAGCAGAAAACTGCATCATCTGACTGTAGCATTTAAAAAAAAAAAAAAAGCACAATATACCTTTCACTAAAATCACTGATGTGTTCTCTGAAATACTGCTTGTCTCAGCAGGCAAAGAACATTTTTTTAAAAAATCACATGTTGCTAGCCCATTTAACTGTGCTGGGTCAGATTGACCCAGGCTTCATGTCCATCTTAGAAATCCTTGGAAAAGAAAAGGTTTGAATGCGACAGAGGCATCTTCTCTGCCAGGCTTGTAACTATTAGCAGAAAAGAAAGAGCATTCTCTGAAATTCCCAGTACTATCCAAGTGCACATGAGGTGCCTTGGGCACATATGCAGGCTTATATGTGAGGCTGCCATTTGCTAGTTGGTTTCAGTGGTGCTGCTGCCGCAGCAGTTTGATAGATAACTCTGGGCAAAGGGCACAAAGCCTGTTAACAGAAAACCTGGAGAGGACTAAAGAAAATACAAGGGTTGGCAGGGCTTTTTGCTCCAGCTTGCTTTCTCAGTTGTAAAAAAACAGGAGAGGCAGGACTTAGAACTTGTTGGTTTTGTGGCAAGTATGAAAGGTGGTAGGCAAGGTCTGTGGAAGAGTTCCATTTTCCAAAGTTTGCCTTGGGAAAGATCTGGCTTTATAGCTGGAAGCAATTAGAAAAGAGGTCTCTGAACTGCTTCCTGTTGTTGACCTCAGATCTGTCCTCAGGCAACTTTAGTGTGTGGCCATGCACATGCCATATACATTTAGAGCACATGACTCCTCCCCCTCCTCCAAAGACTCCTGGGAACTGCATTTTGTTAAGGGCATTGGAAATTGTAGCTCTTTGAGGCACAAAATACCATTGCCTGGCTTCTTTGGGGAGAAGTATGGTGCTTTGAATGTATGGTGTGTACCCAGCCTAAGTGTTGCTTGTCTTATACCTATGGGTTTATATATATATATTTATCACTTGAATAAGGTTCCCTGGTGAGCTGTGGCTCACCTTCACCCTTTCTGCTGGCCAGAAACATGACTTGCTACCATTGTCCTCCACAAAGGAACTTACTAGGGTAATTTTGTGGCAGATATTCCTGTGCATCTGAGTCTTACAGTCAGTTCAGGCATGTTTTGCTGTGTGAATCCATTTTTAGCTCCAGATTCTGCTTTTCATCTTCTCTTGTAAATTTGTACATCTGAAGGGGTTCTATTGCACTTATTTCCTAAAGCTGCCCAGATGAAACTCCAGTTTAATCCTTGCAAGGCATGAGCAGTGGCTTTTGAGCCTCTTGGACACTTCTTCTAGATTAATGCTTCCACTTCTTCTTGGTCCTACAGGATGATAGAGAGACAGATCTGGGTTTTAGTCTTGGCATGTCAGCCCACAGATGACACCCTGGTGGGATTAATTTAGTCAGGAGCACTACAGAAGTACATTCAGATGGATGACATCTCAACTATGTCTTGGCATAATGGATGACATCCCAGCTGTAGACATTATGAAGCCCCATGTCCCAGTGATGGCTTTACTGTGGAAAAGAGACTAGAGATGTTTTGTAGGTGAAGCCTGGAACAGATAGCGCTCTGATCTAGGAAACATTTCCCTACTTGTTTTTGCATGCATCTTGATTATTACGGATGTCTTTACTCGTTAATTTGCCATACTTTTGGGAAAACCTAGCACCTTTGTTCAAAAGGAAAATATATTTGTGTCCCAACACTAACTCTCTTTAAAATTCCTGCTTCTTATCCATTCCAGCTTCTAATGTTTGAACTTTTCCTTTCCATTCAGTTTAGAGTGCAGTCCAGCAAGAATTATGGCTTTGGAGCTCTGTTCCATTTCAAAGTGTTTTGTCTTAGCCTGGGTGATGTAGATATAGGATGACCACAGTCTTTTAAGGGATTGTGCTCTTAAGTCAGCGATGTACTTGTGATAGAACAGGACCTGGCGCCATCATGTTGGTGTCAATAGATTTCCTCCACCACCTTTTTAAAAAAAATTAATCGATTTATTAAGTTCATTTGAACCTAGCAATGTGCTGCTTTTATATTCTGCTTGGCCTTAATCCTAAAAGTACTCATTGCTTTCACATTTATTTATTGGCAGGCAAACACTTTTTGTGTCTGCTCCAGCAAATCTGCCCACCATTTAATTTAACATCCCTCAAACGTGTGTTCCTGTTTTTTAATGCCAAAATGAAATTCTGCAACATTTTTTTCAACACACACACACACACACACACTCCCAGAAGTATTTTCAGTCATTAGAGTGGGTCAAATATTTTAAGAGAGGGCACAAATGATCCCATGTTTGTTTTGTTATTTATATTTATATAAAAAATGTTTACATCTTTTTCTCTGCCTCAAATCTGTATTTTAAAAACAACTTTATCCCCCTTCCCTTGCTGACTTTTAAAAATGCTGTTTTGTTTTTTTCTTTTATAAAGTAGATGACTTGGACTTACAATCTTAGGTTTATGGATTTCCCCCAATTCAGTTGTGTCATTTTCTGTTGAGTTGACTCTGCCCTGCTTTGTGCTGTGTCTTCTAAAATTACATGCAGGATTTTTGTAATTCTCAAAAATGGTGGTGCCTAAGCATCTTACTTTCCTAGCTTGCTGTAGCTTTCATTTGCACGAATTCTTTCTTAAGTAAGCCATAGGTATCAAGTGGTGTGTATCAAAACACAGGCAAATTTTTGTTGCATTTGTTTTTTAAGGGCAAAGGCTATAGTTCAGTGGGACTCTGGCCAAGCCTCTATCTGAAACTTGGAGAGCTGGTGCCACCACGATTGCAGAAATGAAGCCCTTAGATTATTCCTAGGGCATGTTAGCTCACTAATTTGTGAACTAACAGATTTGGACTTCTCTCATTAAGTACAAATCCTGTTGAGGTGATCGTATATATGATCACATAACTTATCGCAAGTAACAACTCCAGTTGCCTGCTTTTTAATGCACATCGCTGCTTATGTACTCTGCTTACTCAATTGGGAAGAAAATCACGTCAACAGAAGGGAAAGCTGCAAGAAGATCAAACCGCATGTGTTCTGGGACCTTTGCAAAATCAAAAGCCAGAAGAATAGAAGAAAGCAAATGCATTTGTGCCTCTCTGCAAGCGGGACGAGAGAAATGGGAACCACTAAATTGAGCAGGGTGGGAATCCTTTTTTTAAAAAAATTGTTTTGTATAAAGAAAACTTCTTTCTAAAGAAGCATAATCAATCCTCTGCAAATAGTAATAGGTGAGGCCAGACGAACTATTTCTAGGTACAAGAGATGAATCGAAACTTTTTTTCTGTCCTATGAAACGACTCTCCTCCCTTTCCCATTTCGTACAATTAAAAGGTTGGTCCACTTTCTTGTTTGTGGCTATTTGTTGTGGGGGGGGAGGGGAATATGAAATTATGTGTAGAAAATAGACAACAGGTTTGTATTTGCTCAGTGAGCGGATAAAGTGTTGTGTCTGTGTATATATAGATTCTACTGTGTAGTCCACAAAGTAACATTGGTAAGAGAAGAGTGTATCTTTATTCACAAGGTAGTTTAATAGCGTAAAAT